GCCTTCATTGCTGGAGTTTTTTCTTTCCTGATCAACACTCTTTTCTGATTAGCACCCCTTTGTCGGCCTTTATTGCCGGTTCTTGCTTTGTTTGTTAATCAGTCTTTATCCAACAATTCCCACCGTGTCTGTGAGTCCATCATCTTGCTGTCTGTCCTATCCATTCTCTTGCTGCCATCTATTCTCTCGCTGGAATCCAACATGTCAGAAACAAGGAAGACTAAGGCTGTCCAGTCAGAGGAGATAATCAGGCCTCAACAACCTGAAGAATTGCAGAACATTCAGGCAGCGTACAAACTAGATGGATCAAATTACCTTAAGTGGTCACAACTCATCCGTACGGTGTTGAAAGGAAGAGGAAAGATTAGCAATCTTTTGGGAACGGGTCCTAAACCAGATGATCCGAAGTTTGAAGCATGGGATGAAGAAGACTCTATGATCATAGCGTGGTTGTGGAGTTCCCTGATTCCTGAAATCAGCGATACCTGCATGTTTTTGGTTACCGCCAAGGACATATGGGATGCTATTCAACAGACTTATTCCAAAGCTAGGGACGCAGCCCAAGTATACGAAGTTAAGGTGAAAACTATAGCGGCAAAACAAGGTAAGAAGACTGTCACTGAATACGCAAACCAATTGAAAACCTTATGGATGGAGTTGGATCATTACCGAGTTATTAAAACTAAATGCCCCGAGGATGCAGCTATCTTAAAGGAATTTATTGAACAAGACAGGGTCTATGATTTTCTGGTTGGACTAAACCCAGAATTTGATCTAGTAAGAATACAGATTCTTGGGAAGCCGGAGGTTCCAGGTTTTAATGAAGTAGTGGCTCTAATTAGGAGTGAAGAGAGCAGAAGGGGGCTGATGCTTGAACCAGAAACCAATGATAGTTCGCCTGTGGTGGCTACTAGTAATAACAAACATGGAGAGAGGTACAGCACCTGAAGGAGAAAAAAACAGCCAGCCAAAGTTCCAAAACCGTGATAATTTTTGGTGCACTTGTTGCAAGAAGTCCATCATACCCGTGATACATGTTGGAAGCTTCCTGGAAAGCCACCAAGCTGTGAATGGGGACAGAAAGGGAATCAGCCACGAAGCAAAGGACAAGCCCATATTGCTGCGACTCCTCAAGCAGAATCAACATCAAAGGAGTTGAGCAGTCTCAACCAAGAGGAGATTGAGAAATTTAGATCACTCATCAGCAATCTTGGTAAGACTGAAGAAACTCCATGTACTTGTTCCTTGGCATATTCAGGTGAGTTTCCTTCCACCATTAGTTTAAATGTTTCGGACACAACAACCGACCATATGACACACTCACACAACGTGTTTTCAACCTACTCTCCATGTCCGAGCAATAATAAAGTAACCACAGCCAATGGTCCTCAATCAGTGTAGCCGGTTTAGGGAATGTCAAAATAAGCCCATTTGTGACTTTGAGAAATGTTCTTCACATTCCTAAAAACTGTCCACAAACTTGATCTCTATACAAAAACTCACGCAAGATTTATGTTGTAATGTGATATTTCACAGTAATTATTGTGTATTTCAGGACAAGGGTTCGGGGAGGACGATTGGATGTGCTAGGGAAAGGAACGGCCTCTACCATCTTGAAACACCAAGTCAGTTGAACATGATCAAGGGTAGTCCACCTTCTTCCTTCATAGTAGAGTGTCTTATCTAATAAAGAAAAAATTTTCCTCATCATTGTCAACTTGGACATCCATCATTTAGAGTTATTAAAATTATGTTTCCCTTCTTGTTTAAAAGTTTAGACGTTGAAAGATTTCAGTGTGAAGTGTGTGAACTTGCTAAACACAAGCGTGTACCCTTTCAGATTAGTAATAAAAAAAGCTCCTTACCTTTTTATCTTGTTCACAGTGATATTTGGGGTCCATCCACTGTTTTTAATGTTTCTGGGGCAAGGTGGTTTGTTTCTTTTGTTGATGACTGTACTCATGTTACATGGATTTACCTACTTAAACAAAAATCTGATGTTAGTACTGTATTCTCAAATTTCCATTCCATGGTCAAAAATCAATTTGGGGTCTCAATCAAAAAAGTTTAGGTCGGATAATGCCAGAGACTATTTCAATCAAACTCTGACTCCATTCTTTCAGAAAGAGGGAATAATACACGAATCGTCATGTGTTAGCACTCCACAACAAAATGGAGTAGCAGAAAGGAAAAATGGTGATCTTCTTGAAAAAACCCAAGCCTTGTTGTTTCAAAAAAATGTGCCTAAGATTTTTTGGGGGGAAGCAGTCCTTACAGCCACTCATCTGATAAATCGTTTGCCTTCGAGAATTTTAGATTCTAAAAGGCCCATGGACATACTCTCATCCTTTTACCCAAACCTGAATACCTCAAATAACCTTGTTCCTAGAATTTTTGGGTGTGTTTCCTTTGTCCGTGTTCATAGTCAAAACAGGGAGAAATTAGATCCAAGGGCTCTAAAGTGTATCGTTGTAGGATATTCTTCGACTCAGAAAGGGTATAAGTGCTATCATCCTCCGTCAAAGAAATTCTACGTCTCGATGGATGTCACGTTCACTGAACAAGAGTCCTATTTCTCTAATCCTTAACCTCTGGGGGGGGAGTTCATTGAAAGAGGATAAGGAAAGTTTTTTGCTTGATTTGTCCTCAATTCCCAAGTCAGATAATCCTACACCTGCTACACCCAGTCCATCTTGTTCTGACCATGATCCTGAATCCATATCTGCATCCATACCCAGACTTGAACTCGTACCTGTAACACCAAATGAACCACAAGAAAAAACCCTGGAAAATGTAAGATTTGGTAAAGGCAACGTGTTCACAAGAAGGAGGAAGGCTGTTCCAGAACCTGTGCAGATCCAAGAATCCAACTCAAACCCTTTGAATGAGGTAACAATTTCTGACCATCCTTTACAAGATAATTCTGAATTTGTGAATAATGATGATCAGAATCTTCCGATTGCCATTAGGAAAGGAGCTAGAGAGTGTACAAATCGACCTTTATATCCTCTTGCACATTTCTTATCCTTTAACAGTTTCTCACCATCTCATAGAGCCTTCCTTGTAAGCCTAAATGCCATCACCATTCCAACCACTTTGTCCGGGGTATCTAATGAAAAATGGAAACAAGCTATGAATGTGGAAATGGAGGCGTTGGAGAAGAACAAAACTTGAGAGTTAGTGAAGTTACCGGAAGGAAAGAGACCAGTGGGTTGTAAATGGGTGTATACTGTGAAGTATAGAGCAGATGGGTCGATTGAGAGGTACAAGGCGCGGTTAGTAGCAAATGGGTATACTCAAACCTATGGGATCGATTATCTGGAGACATTTGCCCCTGTGGCAAAGATGAATACAGTACGAGTATTGTTGTCACTGGCAGCGAATTATGGTTGGGAATTGCAGCAGTTTGATGTCAAAAATGCTTTCCTACATGGGGAATTGGAGGAGGAGATTTATATGGAGGTTCCACCAGGATATGGGAAGAATTTGACTGTTCACACTGTGTGTAGATTGAAGAAGGCACTATATGGCCTTAAGCAGTCACCACGGGCATGGTTTGGGAGGTTTGCAAGTGTTATGCTGACTTTGGGATACATGCAAAGCCAAGGGGATCATACATTGTTCATTAAGCATTCAACTTCAGGGGGAGTTACAGCTCTTTTAGTGTATGTTGATGACATAATATTGACAGGAGATGATTCTAAGGAGAAGCAGGTCTTAAGTCAGCATTTGGCTAAGGAGTTTGAGATTAAAGCATTAGGAAGGTTGAAGTATTTTCTTGGTATTGAGGTTGCTCACTTGAAGCAGGGAATCTTCATTTCTCAACAGAAGTACGTCACAGATCTTCTCAAGGAAACTGGTAAGACAACATGCAAACCAGCGAGCACCCCTATGGACCCGAATTTAAAACTTAGGAAAGCAGAGGAAGATGCCACAGTAAATAGGGAAATGTATCAACATTTGGTGGGAAGACTCATTTACTTGTCTCACACACGACCAGATATCGCATATGTAGTGAGTGTAATTAGCCAGTTTATGCATAGTCCAAAGGAAGTCCATCTATAAGCAGCCTATCGAGTTCTACAGTACCTGAAGGGAACGCCGAGAAAAGGTATCTTGTTCAAAAGAAATGGAGGGTTAGTTCTTGAAGCATACACTGATGTCGATTACGCTGGGTCAATTGTTAACAGAAGATCAACATCAGGATACTACACCTTTCTTGGGGGGAATCTTATAACATGGAAAAGTAAAAAACAAAGCGTGGTAACTCAATCGAGTGCAGAGGCTGAATTCCGAGCCATGGCTCAAGGAGTGTGTGAACTACTTTGGTTGAAGATTATTCTTGAAGATTTGAAGATCAAGTGGGATGGCCCTATGAGACTTTACTGTGACAACAAATCTGCGATCAGCATAGCTCACAACCCAGTACAACATGACCGGACCAAACACATTGAAATTGACAAAAACTTTATTAAGGAGAAGTTAGAAAGTGGGCTGATTTGTATGCCTTATGTGTCTACACATGGACAACTTGCTGATGTCCTTACCAAAGGGCTGAATAGCTCAGTTTTTCAAACTATTGTATCCAAGCTGGGAATGGAAAATGCCTATTCACCAGCTTGAGGGGGAGTGTGGAAAAAACTGTATATAGCTGGAATACAAGCTAGAAAACCGTGTATAGCTAGGTGATTTTAGGCAATTAGTTTGATGGATTATTTCCTTAGAATTAGAGATAGTTTCCTAATTTGATAGGATACAAACTTAGTGGTAGGGTTGCTAGGGTTGATGTATATATGTATGCAGTGTATGCCGTGAAAAGTATTCAGTATGAATGAAAATAAGAAGTTTTCATTTCAGCTTTTCTTTGTCAATTCACCACAGTTAGCAATAGTTCTATTCGGATAAATATTAAGCATGTTATGTTGTAGAGCAGGATTTTACTTCATCAGTCAGGAATTTTAATTTGTTCTTTAATGATCACTATATCAAAATTTATACAGGTTGCTATCTTGGATGGCATCACTATGGGAGCTGGGGCTGGAATTGCACTCCCGGGAAGGTTCAGTTTGGTGACTGATAAAACTGTACGTTAATTTTTCTCTTACTTAAATTAGTTCACCAGATTTTGTGTTGTTTATGTCTTTCTTATATTCTTGAGGAACAAAGGTATTTAACCTGATGGTGAATTATGTGAATGAAAAGCTCAATTTTTTATGTGGTGGTGTGATACTCTTTTCATCTATTTGTTTATTTATTTTCGAGATACTATGACACAAGTTGATCTCTAGTAATTTTGGACTCTCTTTAAATTTATTAATTTGGAATAGTAAGAGTCTTTATGAACACCACGAGAATCTATAAACTAGGCTGTTTGAATCTCTTGGTGAGACAATTTCCCATAAACTAGAAAACATCTGTGGAATTTTTTCTTACCCGCGCATCTTGCTCAGAGCATGAACTTGCTTGCTTTCATTTTGTGTTAAGTACTGTTACTCAAGTCAATTCATAGATCTGTGCAAAAATGTGCAGGCTTTTTCCCATCCTGAGGCTCAAATGGGTTTCCATCCTGATGCGGGGGCGTCCTTTTATCTTTCTCGTCTACCTGGCTACTTAGGTGACATAACATTTGTGCCGTTTGCTTTTAGGCTGTATTTTTCCCTGACACATTTAGGCTCCTTCATAAATGGGAAACTTTGGTGTTTTTTCTTATACAATAGCTACTTTTGAAATTTGGAAACATGATAAATTCATACATTGCATTACTAATTATATCAAGAATCTCAGCGCAGTGAAGACATTATTTGACAGTATTTTTTATTTCTGTTTTGTGTTATTTGAAAGGGGTATAAAAATTGATGAGCAATTTTCTATCTTTTACAATTTTGATTCCAATTCGTGTGATCTATGTGTTTTTTATTGCAGGGGAATACTTGGCTCTTACAGGAGACAAGCTGGATGGTGTAGAAATGATTGCCTGTCGCCTTGCTACACACTACACACTTAGTGAAGTTAGTTCTTTTGCACATTAGCCTTCACATTAAAAGTTTTGTTTTTGTTTTTTTGTTTTTTTTTTTTTTTTCCCACAGCGTAATCTTCTACTTTTCTACTGCTTTGTTTCCTATCCTAAGGTGAATTGATTGTGACAACTCACTCTTTCAGAAACTAAGTTGGATTGAAGAACGCTTGAGTAATTTGCACACAGACGATCCCTCTTTGATAGAATCATCTCTTGCACAATATGGCGACATTGTTTATCCAGAAAAGACGAGTGTTCTCTCTAGGTAAATTTCTATAACTGTTTCTTACTCTTTAACATTTCTTGCCTGTTTCATGTCCATTTTCCTCTGTTGTTTACTTGTTTTAATTGAATAAACAACTAGTTGCTGTTGTTATTTGTGTAGTCAATGACTTTCTGTACACGCAGAGTTCTGCGGTTATGTGCACAATAGTAATGGAAAATCTGAGCTTAGGGAACAATGATGAAGATTTGGTTCTATTTTATCCGATGCATGAGTTTCCAATCTTTATTGGTCTTAGCTCTAAGCTGACAGTGGTGCTTTCCATATATTTCTCCATGATGTCTTAGGATTGACACCATTGACAGATGTTTTAGCCATGACACGGTGGAGGAAATATTTGATGCTTTGGTAAGCACCATACTGCATATGTTTCTGTTGTGAGCATTAAATTAAATATTGTTTACATAAAAAAACACCAAAAAGAAGGATAATATTTATGGGTTTAGGTTTTTGTTGATAACCATTTTTAAGGCGTGAATAATATCTGGTTATGGCAATGAATATAATGGATGATTTGATTTCTAAGGAGTCGGAGTTCACTACCATAATACTGTTCAAAGATATCATCTTGTAGTCCAAAAAGGAACTCATTTTTTTATTATCTTTGGATGCGTTTTATTTTTATTTTTATTTTTATTTTTTTAAACAATTTTATTGATAAAAACCAATAAAACAGTAATGAATATTTTGATGCGTTTTAAAACTAACAAAACAAATTAATTGCTCAGGAGAAGGACGCATCGGAGTCCTATGATGAGTGGTGCAAAATAACCCTCAAGAAATTAAGAGAAGCTTCTCCTCTATCCTTGAAAGTTATTCTGCAATCTGTCCGTTACCTCTCTCCCTGGCCGGTTAAATATTATCATTTTTCATTTTGGCACTTATCTTCCTCTAACCCTTGGCCTTTCCTTTTGCATTTAGATACGCGAAGGTAGATTTGAAAGTCTTGATCAATGTTTGGTCCGTGAGTACCGAGTATCCCTTACCGCGATTTCCAAAGACGTCTCCAATGATTTCTGTGAGGTATGAGTTTTTGTTTCCAACTTTGCACGCAAGGAAATCTTCGAATTGAGTTTTTTTTAACTTTTGGCATCGTGCTCATGTGTTAACAACAGGGTGTTCGTGCAAGATTTGTAGACAAGGACTTTGCTCCAAAGGTATGGAACCTACCTATTTCTTGTCATGTAATTGCTCTACTCTTAAAATTCTTTTCCGGAGCTCAAGAACAATCTTATGAAATGAATGACTTCTCTTTCATCCAAATATTCAGTGGGATCCTCCAAGTTTAGGGGACGTGTCCGAAGACATGGTGAACTGCTATTTCTCGCCGCGTCCTGAAGTTGAGTCTGAACTGGAACTGCCCACAGCATCGAGAGAGCCATACTGAAACTGATCAGAACCAAAGAACAAGAACAATCTACTTGTGGAGCTGCGTCTCAACTGATGATAAAGTTGATGGATTGGGTGCTGAATATTCTTTTTGAGAGAGGAATTCCTAATTATTAGGAAAACTCGTGCTAAGTCTGTTCTTGCGAAGGACTCTTTTTACACATTTGCAAACGACTGAGCATCGACAGCTTGAATAACAGAAACTGTGTTTTTATTCCCATGTTGTGGATTTGGGAATATTAGTACTCTTAGTGCGACTAGTTTTATCAGAAATTGTAATACTGAATATTCAATTTTGTTTACATGTATTGATTATTTTTTTACCCCAACGCATTTGCTCAATGACCTGAAAGATATTTGCTCTTTAGACAAATTTGTGAAGTATTTGTTCATTACTGTCGTTTTTACAGTGCCGTCGCCCTCTGTATGCTTTTGTCGTTTTTGTTTTATTGTCATTTCCCTAAGTCGTGTTTTAGCCTTTTAGGTCATCGCTGTTTGAATAATTGTTGTCGTTTTCTGTGTATGCCGATGTGCGTCCGTTATTTTCTAATTAAACGTTGCTGTTATGAAAATTAGGAAGAAAGAGAGAAATTAGAGAGAGAGAGTTTTAATCTTGTAAAGGAATACAAAATGAAGAGTTTTAGAACTCTATTTATAAGAAAATTTTCAGTACTATTTACAGTTACTATTTGTACAGTATTGACTATTTACGGTTACTATTTACACAGTAAGATTTTGACGTGAATAGTAACTTTGACTAACTTGCATAGTAATATTAATTGAGATGAACAGCTACAATTCATAACACTTCTCCTTAGATGTCCACCATTCATGATGTCTCATTAAAAATCTTGTTAGGAAAATCCTAGTGGGGTAAAAATCATAGCAAAGGGAAAAAGAGTACATTATTTATCTATATGTGTTTATGTTGTCTCATCAAAAAATTTGTAAAGAAAACCTAGTGGGATAAAACCACAATAAGGGAAAAAGAGTACAATCACGTAAACTCCCCTTAAAGTTGACATGTATAGTCCTTTATAAATCTCGCAGATGACGCATCTCGATACTGTGGATATGCATTCTGAACGTTATAGTGGGAAGTGCTTTTATGAAAAAATATGTTGGATTGTCACTTAATCGAATATATTGGATGTTAATATCCTTATTCTTTTCAAGCTCTTGGGAGAATGAGAAAAACTTCAGGGTATGTGTTTTGATCTGTCGCTCTTGATGTATCATTCTTTTATTTGAGCGGCGTATGCAACATTGTCTTCGAACAATACTGTTGAATCTGTGTTGATAGGTATCCCATAAGTTGCTTAGATGTGTTGAGTCATGGAACTCAGCCATAAATATTCTTGATTTGCTTCATGGAGTGCAATATCTTCAGCATGATTTGAAGAAGTGGCAACGAGTGTCTACTTCTGTGAGCGCCAATAGATAGCAGTTTCTCCACATGTGAACACATCCAGTTTGAGATATGGCTTTATATGGATCTAACAAGTAGCCTGAATCTGCATAGCCTATTATCTCTTGTTTTGATCCTTTAGGATAAAGCAATCCCAAATCAACTGTTCCTTTAAGGTAACAGAATACATGTTTAATTTCGTTCCAAGAGTGTCTACTTCTGTGAGCGCCAATAGATAGCAGTTTCTCCACATGTGAACACATCCAGTTTGAGATATGGCTTTATATGGATCTAACAAGTAGCCTGAATCTGCATAGCCTATTATCTCTTGTTTTGATCCTTTAGGATAAAGCAATCCCAAATCAACTGTTCCTTTAAGGTAACAGAATACATGTTTAATTTCATTCTAATGTCTCTGTATAGGAGATGAGCTAAATCTTGCTAATAGATTAGTAGCAAAAGCTATATCTGGATGGGTACAATTAACAAGATACATAAGAGCTCTAATTTAACTCAACTATGGTACTTCGGCACTAAGGACATCTTCATTTCCATCTCAATGACGAAATAGATCCTTTTCCTCATCAAGTTGTTGCACCATCATCGAGAAACTCAATGATGCGCCTTTTTCATGATCTAATTTGTATTAGTTGTTTAATGGATGAAATATTCCATAAGGCAAACGTTTAATCTGCAGATCGAGGCAAAGCTTTATTTTTCGAGATCCTTCATCTCGAAATCTTTCTTTATATATGCAACAATTTCTTTGAACTCTTCAAGAGTCATAATAATATTTAAGTTATCAATATTATATACAACAGTGATAGCTAATCAATTCAGACTTTGATCATCTCATGAAAAATGCATGGACAAATAACATTGTATATGAAACCTTCATTTGAGAGATATACGCTAAGATGATTATGTCTCATACATCCGGATTGCTTTAGTCCATACAAAAATCTTTGTAGTTTAGTTGAACATATTTCTCGAGATATTAAATTAAATGCTCCAGGAGTCTTAAGTCCTTTATGGATTTCATATAAATGTCACTTTCTAGTGCTACTTATAAATATGTAGTTACCACATTATTAGGCGCATATTAAGTCCTTTAGAGACAATCAGGCTAATCACATACGCAAAATAACTGCATCCTCCACAAGAGGATATGTCTATTCACAAAAATCTATTTATATCCCACAAGTTTCACAGCTTCAGGCGTGATGACAATAGATCTAAATACTTTACGCTTATTAAGCAAATTTAATTAAGCTTGTATAGCGTCTTTCCATTTTGGCCAATTACTTATACATCGATACTTTTCGACGAAATTTGGTTCAAGATCCTCGCTTTCTTTCACTATATCAAGTGCTATTTCAAATGTAAATGCATTGCCGATAACAATCTTATCATCGTTCCATTCTTTACACGTACGGATATAATTTATTAAGATCTCAATATTTTTAGTATTTCAGATACCTGGACCACTTCAAGGGTCTTTATGTCAGTTGCTGGTTCTCGCAATATGACCTCTTTAGGAGCGTCAATCCCTTCAGGAGTGCCAGTTCGTGTAACTTTTCCTTTTTTCTCTTCTGCGGATTTTTATCCTTTTAGAATTGATTAGTCTACCATGCTGCAAGCATGCCTTAGACTCATTTGCTGCTATATTTTTCAAAATTTTCACGTCAGGGACATCATTATGAGCTGAAACATTAGCAGCTGATGTATGTGTATGTGATTTAGTCACTTTCTTTATATCAGTAAATGCACCTAGTAATTGATTTGTTGAAGTACTTCTAACTTACATTGATTAGTGCGAGGAACAAAAATGCATTCCACAAAATTTCATTTTGTTTTTCCAGCCTTTTTGTTTCTACCCCTTATGCTGGAAATAATGTTTTATATTCAAATCAACAATCCTTGCTATAGAAATACAATCCATTAGGGATTCAAGAAATTCAATTATGCAAAGGATTTCAAAACCTAACATAAATTTCCAACTTTCTTTGAGTATCCATCTTAGTGTGATGTGGTGGAGCAATTAGAACATTTATTGCGCAACTAAAAACTATTAGATGAGAAATATTTTATTTTTTACCAAATGTCAATTGTAATGGGGAATACTTATTACAAACACCTGGTTTGATGCGAATTAATACAATAGTATGTAAAATTGCATGACCCTATACAGAAATAGAAAACTTTGTTCTCGTTATTAATGATCTAACAATTTGTGAAAGGCTCTCAATCAATGATTCAACCGAACCATTTTGTGAGAGCAACAAAGTGTTTAATAATACTCTCAAAGGACATTACAATTACTAAAGGCTTGAGATGTAAGCTCACCAACATTATCAATGTAATGACTGAGAAAATTCTATACCTTAAATAATACAATTTACGTATTTAAGCCAAGGATTTTCCTAAAAAATATTATGTGACTGAAGGATTTATGGAATTAATAGCTGTATTCCTAAATTCTGTAGCAAATTAGATCGATAAATTATCGTCGTACTTTAAGGCGGAATAATTTTCAGTACAAGTATAGTTTGAGAATCTTAATTTCAAGAATCTCCAAGCATAGCACAATGTTAGCAGCGTATAAAAAACACACTGACATTTTTAAAAAAGAGAAAATCCTTAATTGCTAGACAGCTAGGTTAAAGTCGCAAGATAAATACTCATAACAGAAGTGTACAATGTGAGCTCGGGAGTTGACACCGTTAGAAACAACGTCATTCCCGGGATAGAATGCAAAAAAGTTAAATTTAGAATTTGTTCAGTCTAGAATTGATTTCAAGACTTTAAACAGTTCAAGATATTACGCGAGTAAGAATTTAATGTAATGTCGAAGTAGTTGGGAATTAATATTAACCTGTAAATAAGCAGTAGAAAAGGGACCGTCGGAAACTAGAATTTCCTGTCGGCTAATTTACTTACCTACAGTCAGTATAAGTTTTTGCAGTTGCAAGAGAAACCTAAGAGAGTGGACAAAAGTACAAGGGGTAGGATTTATTTTTCTCTCTCCCATTCTCCACTTAGCCGGCCATGTATAGTGGAAATAGAGCTCAAATTTGGCTAGTTGAGTATGATAGAAGGTTACATGTTAAGGTGATGTGATGGTAGTGGTTGAAGGAGAATTAATGGTAAATTTACTTCTCCTTTTCTCCTTCCATAACCGGCCAAGAAAGGGGGAATTGAACCAAAATTTGGTTGATTGAGGGTGTTGATGTGGTGTTAAAAAAATAATTTCCAAGTTGCCTATAAAAGGAACCATCATAGGATAAGCCTCATTTTTTTTTCTCCTAGTTTTTTTCCCACACTCAAAATCCGGCCACACCCTCCATTCTCTCTCAAATATTTTCTCTCACTCTCCCAATCTTGAACCACTAGCAAACCATAGAAGAAGAAGAAGAAGGAGATCAAGGGATTCTAGGAGGAAACTAGTCAAGCATTCCTCCAAGGGTAAAAAAACTCTAAATCCCCTCTTTTTTCATGTTTTAGTAAAGTTTAAAATGTAAAAATATTCCTCTTAAATTTCCTTAAACTTTCTAGTTCCAAGCCATTTACAAATCTTAGAGGAGTTCAAAGGTTTTCAAGAGAGAGAGAGTTCTTCAAGGGTAAGTTCTCAAACTCTTCTCCATTAATTTCTAGCCAACTTTAAGCTTGAATTTATGGATGTAAATTTGTGGTTCTTGAAGAAGATGTGTTGTAATAAGGGTGTGTGAGTTTTATGTTAGTTTTGTGAGTTTGAGGTTAGTTTGATTAGCAATATGTGGTATGTTTATACTTAGTTTAAGTTGCTTATTTTGGGTTGAAGGAGAAATTTTTCGGTTACTTTGAACGCGAAAATGAGGACCCTAGAGCGAGATTTTTCAGTATTTCTAAACTTGAACTCATAGATCTCGATGTTTTGAACATTTTCTGTGACTATGACAAAACCCAATTTTAACTCTAAAAGCGAGTTTGAAGCCAGTTTGTAAAAAACAGACTGGCTGCCCAACACAATTTTAGAAAAGAAAAAAAAAGATTTGCTGCAGCAATCCTACAGCATTTTAAAAGAGATTGCTGCAGCAATCCTAAAGTAAAAAAATTGCTACAGCAATATTAAAGATTGCTACAGCAATCCTATAGCATTTTTAAAAAGATTGCTACAGCAATCCTATAACATTTTTAAAAAAGATTGCTACAGCCTTATTAAAAGATGCTACAGCAAACGAAAAAAAAAACATCAGCCACTGTTTTCAGCCAAACGAGGCCTTTAGAGGCTGAATTTCAACTTTATCCAAAATTGACAATTTTAGATCTCGACGAGACGAAGAATTGTCGCGAAGAACAAATTTTTGAAATCCAGATGCAGTAAAACACAGATTTCAGAAACTGTACAGTGTTAACAAAATAAAACTAACACAGTGTTTGTTTTAACAAAAAATTATCAAAGAACCCGAGACGTGATTTCAGTAAAACACAATGGCATTAAACATCATTTTAACGAAAGTATTCGTAAAGAAAGTTTTCAAAGAAAAAAATGTTTTCTTTAAAGAACATAGTGGTTTATCGAGCGCGTTAGCCCGACGGGCACTTACGAGCCCAATACGTTAGGTCCTTAGAATTTTGAGGATTTAATGTAGGTCCAATGCCCGCATTGATTTAAGAGACTCCAGTTGAGTTTAAATTTCAGCGGCCTAAGAGTTAGAATGTCGTGGATAAGTTTCTAGGCTGAATTGGGCCTTAATATCATAATAAGTCCAATGAGAAAAATTATGGAGAATAAGTTACTATGTTGGGTAAATGATTTTCAATCTAGACATAAGAATGTTAAGGGCAATTAAGGAAAATAAGATTTTGAGGATTTAATAAATTGATCCTTATAGTAAATTATCCTTCAGTAAAGGAAAGGAATACATGCCTTAAGTAAATGGCTAGATTTCCTTCATAAGCTGCTAAAATAGAATAGCAAATGACATATAATCTCACACTCTCAATGGGTGTTCATTTTCAGAAGTAAGCAAGTAAGAGAATAGGATGTTTGGCGAAGAGTGGATTCCAGCTCTGTAAATCAGGTAAGTAGGAATCTCGCCTACAGTATGAATAGATTTTAAAGAAAAAGTTACACATGTTATATATGCATGTTTATGCTTTAAGTATTATGTGCGATGCTATGTCATGCTACATACACTTAAACAGTGGACATGAATTATATGTGTTTGAGTACATTTCATGTTACAGTATGCTATGCTATGTCATATTGCATACACCTTAATAAGTCAAGAAGAACTTATAAGAATAATCTAAGTTGAGTGTCGTACCAGCCTCCAACTCAATGGAGGTAACTCAAGCTCCGCAAGGGAGAAAAGAAAAAAAATATATAATAATGTCCTCCGACTCAAGGGAGACATTCAAGTTATAATTATGGTGTCGTGGGGGACCTTTCATACCCTAATGTCCCAATGATTGCGCGCAAGTGGTACGCGAGCACTTGGGCCCATAAGAAAGAAAGATAAGATAAGATAATAAGATTATGATAAGACATCATAATTAAGCATAATCAGCTCATGCATATTTATTCATGTGTACTCACAGTTATTTTGCGAGATATAGTTCCTACTTGCTGAGTGAAAGCTCAATTAGATATGTTCATGTTGTAGGTAAGAAACCTATCAGCAATTCTTGAAGGGCAATGGCGAGCGGCGGACGAATGGTGGAGATGGGAATGGATACCGCTAACATTCAAATCTTCCGCAGTAAGTTTAAGTAAAACCATGTATATGTTTATATGATTCAAAGGTTTCGAGCATGTGTGTTTAAAAAGTATATGTACATATGTATGTTAGGAAAACTGAGGTTGTAGCTAATAACCCTAGTTTTGAGTATTTAAGTTTTAGAACGTTGCAATAGTGCATGCAACAAATAAACGAATTTTAAACATGACGATTTAAATAATTGATTTTAAAATGACTTTAAAAATATACTTAAATTTAAGATTTATCTCGAAATCCGTTTTAAAGCCAAATTGAATGGACTAGTTTTAGAAAGGCTTTTGAAGAGTATTTGAAACAAGAGTTCAAACGCTGCTCCGTTTGAAAGATATTTCTAGAAGATTTTATCTTAATTGAAATTAAGAAAAGCTATAAGAAATTTAGTGATTCATTCTTTTGAAATTATTGTTACAAGTTATAAAAGTATTCCTTCTTATATTTAAAAAAAAAAAAAAATGTTCCACAAATTTTAAGAAACCCTAGTGAGTACAAGTTAAAAAGTTAAGCTACGGTGACGGCCTCCCAATAGGGTCGTCACAATCAAGTCTAACTTTCTTGATTGTGCATAATCAAAAATTGTGCTCATAATCTAATTAACTTAACAAGAAATCTTGCAAATGCTAATTGCGAGTTGATAATTGACAAATATAAGACCTTCTACTAGATGCATATATCAATACCATAAAGTATCTAAATGGTTCACACTGTGGGTATATAAGCCCACATATCACCTTGAATACGTTCAAGAAATGTAGGTGATTCTGTTTCAATTTTAGCTGGTGAAGGCCATGTAATTAGTTTACTAAGAGAACAAGCTTCACATAGAACTTTATTCATTTGAAAGATCTGTTGGCCTTTTAATAAATGTCCATGTGAACTTTCTACGATTCTTCGCATCATTATTGAACCAAGATGACCCAAATGGTCATGCCATAGGATTAATATTTGGAAGTTTTTCTAATATGTACTTCTTTCTTTGTACATTAGTAGCTCAATACATATATTTCTCATTCCCTTTAGTTTCAGATTGTGTATCATATTCATTAAGATATATGTCTTTGAAACTCAACAAATTGCTTTTGGACTTTGGTGAAAACAGAGCATTATTTATGGAAAACTTTGTTCCATTTGGCAATATAAAACTTACTCTACCAGTCCCCTCAACTAGATCTACAGGACCTGATATTGTATTGATTATTATATTTACTAGTTTTAAATCAGAGAAATACTTTTCAGATTTTAGGATAGTGTGCATTGTACCACATCTAGAATACATATATCGTCGATATTAACTTTGAACTTAGCTCCATTCATATTAAGTTGAATACAAAAGTAATAATAATATCATAAAAATTTCATGAATTTTAAGAAAATGCATAACATAGGATTTTATATAAAGAAGTAGAACATACATAGAACAAATCCAATACAAAAACAAAATGCAATGTAAATTTATTAATCTTGTGAAGGTATATAAAATGAAGAGTCTTGGAGTTCTATTTATAAGAAAATTTTTAGCACTATTCACAGTTACTATTTGTACAGTATTTACTATTTACAGTTACTATTTACACAATAAAATTCTGATATGAACAACTTACACAATAACATTGACTTAGATAAACAGCTGTTATTCATAACAGTTGTCGATTTCTAATTTCGTTTTTAATTGTTATTGTGGCTGTCTATGTTAATATTCTTTTTAAGTTGATGTCCTTTCCATAATATTGGGTCGTTTTAATATGTTGTCGGTTTTTCAAGTCATCATCATCGTTCAAATTATTGTCGGCTTCACATTGTTGTGTTTTGTCGTTTTCAGTGTTGCCATTTTCTGCGTTTGTCTCTATTTGTCGTTTTTGGATTTTCTTCCATTTTGGGTCATCGTAATTTGTCGTTTCGTAAAATTGTCATTTTCTTTGATGTTTTTTGGTTCACTTGATGAAGCTTACTCATTTCATGTCCTCTTTATTTTCGTCTTGATGTCGTTTATTAACTAATGACATGAACTATTTTTATTTGTTTTCGACAAGTATAATCAATCTATAATCTTTTTCTCTTTCCTTTTTTTCCCTCGTATGTAATAATAATAACACGACGGAAGGAAAAATACAAGTTTTCAACTAATGATGCTCGCACGTAAAACCGGTTTCTACAATTTTGAAGGATTTAAGCTCTCTAAAAGCCATTTCAAAGAGCATCTGTGGCAAAAATCATAATGCTAAGCTATGATATGCTTGTGATGTTAACTATTAAGCTTAGAGAAACGTGTCACTATGGAGCATAAACAAAACAAGTACTTGGACCTGATTTAAAAAGAGTATTCGATATACAAAACAACAGTTCGGAAACCCACTGTCTCAGCAAATACGGGTTTCAAACTTCAAGTTGATGCCCATGGTGAAAAGTTCCTGGCACAGCAGCTTGGCCCCATAAGGCACATTAACCCGAACGATGTCATCAGCTGACTTGCAGATCCGGCAATAGGGACCTCTTACCTTCCGGCCACCCATCAACGATCGCTGGATAATGTTCGCAACATTGTGGCATCTGTGGCAAATGTGCATTTGAGAGGAGTCACTGAGAGTAAAGAGGCGCTCATGCAAGTTGGCTGATGCACCGTGAGCTAATAAACAATCTCGTTCCATCTCACCAAACTTGACCCCACCAAAGCGCTTGCGGTCTGCTACAGGCTGACGAGTTAGAGGGTGGACCGGACCAGTGTTTCGGAACTTTACTTTGTCTTCGGACATGTGAACCAGCCGCTGGTAGAAAGTTGGCCCCATGAAAATGAGGGAACGGACCATTTCACCAGTCCGACCATTGTATACTCTCTCATTTCCCCATCTTGAGAATCCAGCCCTGTGACACATTACACAAATTTTTGAATCAAATCCAATTCTACCATTCAGGGAAAAATGTATAACACGCACTTAGCCCAAAAGAAAAGTTACTTGTGAAGCTGCTCTGTGATGGCATCAACAGAGGGAGTGGAGAAAGGGGTGGCATGTCTCAGCGGAATGCCCTTTGCTAAAGCAATCCCCTTTCCTAATGCAGCCTCCAGGAGTTGACCGGGAGTTTGTCGTGACGGAAACGCATGAGGATTGATGACGATGTCCGGAACGATTCCTTGGATTGTAAAGGGGAAGTTCTCTTGGGATTCCAAGTATCCCAGAACACCCTTTTGTCCATGCATGCTTGAGAATTTGTCTCCGAGAATTGGCTGACGAACCTGCACCAAGAAGTCAGAAATGTAATTAATGAAAAAGAAATTTGTCTTTCAGTAAATTTATCAGAACAATGAGAGTAGGTGTTAAATAATAACATAATGCTTACTTGCATCTTGCAAAGATTAAAGGCAAAGCGTTAGCTACCATAGGAATATGAAACTATCTATAAACGTTCGTTATAAAAGCTTAAAATACCTGTCTTAGAGACACCACAGCGAAGTTTTTCCCGTCGTCATTAGAGGAAAGCACAACCTTCTGGACCATTCCCTTCTCAGTGTGCTTCAGTTTAATACTATGATCGGCCCCTGATTCAGCGCACCTCCCTATAACTATATCACCACTCTGTAGGTTTGCACCAATAAAAGGAAAACCATCGTCATCGAGGCTATCAACACGTCCATTCTTACTTGGTATCTTTGCAAAATTAAAGCAATCGTCAGGCTTCCGCCTTTTGTCGGTTGATTCCTTATTGTCAACATCAGCCTTATAACTTCTTATGTGCTCGGATCGGAACATACCACGTTCCAAAGAAGCACGATTCATCACTATGGAATCTTCTTGATTGTAACCTAGATGAACATTGACGGCAACGATGGCATTCTGGCCATTGAAGCATTCAAACTTTGGAATAAATCCATTTTGACTTGGGGCATAACCTCGTTTCCCAAGACAATCAGACGTCATTGTTTGAAAGAGTGGTCTTTGTGGATAGTGTAATTGGTGAGAAAGAGTATCCACTCTGATATCGGGATTTGTCGTAGGAAAACCAATCGCTTGTTGAGAGTGCTTCTGAGCTTGGTAGAGGACCCTCCTTGCATGATCATGATTTGCAAATGGTATGATTCCACAGCTTACACTCAACAGAAAAGACATGTCTAGTTCGCAGTGTGTATAGTTGACAGGCTTCCCCCCATCTTCCATGAAAAGATATTTGATACCCCATGCAGTTCGACAGTCTTCTTCCTCTTCAGCTCCAATAAGCTCAATTATTCCCTTATCGAGAAGGGAATGGAAGGTATACTTCCCCTCCTTAGATGGTTTAATCCTATTCAAATTCTCAACCACTAAAAGGGGACGTAAAATTCTTCCAGAATCAGAAAATATGCGCACTTCCCCATGCTGTTCATCTCTTTTAATTTCAACCTACAAGACAAAATCGGTACTACTTGGCTTTAAAAGCAACAAAGAAGAATTGCAAAGAGAAATAGGATTTTCCTCTTTTATAAGTTTAAACAGAACAAGGACCCGAATAGCAGAGAAATGAAAATATGTGAACAGCAAGCAAGACAAACTACAAACTGCAAACATTTACAGTCTAGATGTTTTAACGTATAGCATAGAAACGAAAAATATGTCAACAGCAAGCAAGACAAACTACAAACTACAAACATTCACAGTCTAGATGTTTAAACAATAAACATTTTCTTGCCTCGTTATAAATAATCTATGGGGGGGAATATAGTACGTTCAGAAAATTTATTAACGGATGCAAGGATATTAGACATTGCATTAAGGCAAGTGAGATGAAATTTATGATGTTTCTAACTGTCTCTCAACTCCAGAACATGAAAATAAGAATGGTTTCAAAACCAAAATTCAAAGATGATATTTCTCTATGGAGAAAATTTAGAGAGAACCTGATGTGGTAACTCATTTCTGCGCCGCTTTCTCCTCAATTCTGTCACAAAGGCAAGGGAATCAGCACAAACTCCAATCCAATCCCCATTTAGAAAAACTTTATGCTTCTCATGCAGTGGCGTATAAGTATCATTCGCTAGATTCTCCATGCCGCTATCGCACAATGTGGAAATGAGAGATTCCGCAATGTTTATACTTACTAACCCAGTAGCAGCCAAATTTTTTACAAGCCCACAATTTTCACCATCAGGGGTCGAGAGAAAGCAAACCTTTCCCCAGTGGGAAGGATGTCTGCATCCAAAGAATTAGTCAATATTCAATCATCCTAGGATCATCACACAAGCAAATTTAGAAGCAGTATTGTTCTATTTATAACCCCAATATGCAATAAACATACAACAATAAAGTTGAAACACAAACAAGCTGACAAGACAACAGGTGATCTTTTTGAAAGCTACTCACGGGTATCTAGCATCTCCAACTTTCCCTGTGTACTGAACTTGCTGGCGTGTTTTCCTCATATCCACCACTGTCTGCAATGGATTTGTACGTCCAACATTTGCAACTACCCCTGAAATTCTTTCAGTCTTCTTGAAAGGATGACACCATGCTCCAGTTGAAAACGCTCTGGAAAGACCATTAGTAACTATAGAAGCATCCAGGTAAAATTCAATTTGACGCAATCCCTTATCTCCATAAAGGTCCCTCTGCAAAGCCTTAGCCGTGCGTTTCCTTGCATGTGACACTTGAGCCCTCAGCTCTCGCTCTAGCAACTCACCAGCCAAGTCCAGTCTCTTGTTTCTAAAATCATCCTTGTTATTACATTTTCTACGACCGGTAAAGGCCTGCAAAAGGCACTTCACCATATAACCTAAAAAGCGGGCCTTTTGCAGCATACCTCTCAGATTCGGAAACAGAAACATGTCAAGGCACTCTTCAGCACTTTCTCTTGGCGGAAACTGAGTTTTCTTAATATGTTTCTCCACAAAACCAAGAGCTTTCTTCTGTCTACGAAAGCCGGCACATACCTCATCCGAAATTTGGATTGAAGGAAAAAGTATATTTAAAATGCTGGCATCATCAGTGGGAAAATCAATGAGATCCACAACTTCCTTGTCAGATGAGACGCCAAGGGCAAAGAACAAAATCCACACAGGAATCTCAGTTGACAAAAAGTAAACACAAAGGACATCCTTCTCTACTGTAGTGTCTTCAAGTCCAGATTGCGCTAATCTAAGAATCAATCTATTCCTCTTAACTTCTGACTGGTATGCAACTGTAAGATTCTGATGACTTGTAATCCAGAGTCTTTTCCTACAGATTTGCTCCTGGGCAATAAATGTCTGCATTGTAAATGAGAAAACTGTTATTATATTCAGCAGAACACATATATACACATGTGTGTGCATAGCGTAATGCCACCATCAAAGTGAAGGCAGCAACAAATGAAAAACTAGAAACTCCACACTATACAGAAAAACAGCTACCCCAAATGATCCTCCCAAAAGTTCACTACCAAGGGAAAGAATAGCAGTAATCTAAAAACACACCTTCTCTGCACCCTTGATTATAAAATATCCTCCGTGATCAAAGTAACAGTCTCCTTTCTCAGCATCCTTCATCCAACAAAGGTCAGACTTTACCATCACCGGGATCCTCCCAATCATGACATCCTTGTCTTCAGTACTTATAATTTCCTTGTCAAGGAATTGCTCTTTTCCAGTTTTGAATTTGTCACTTCTAACGAGTTTTTGAGTATATACCTGGTAAAGTCCATCTTTATCAACCACAAATACTAAGAAAACGCTCAAATTTTAAAAATTGTTTCAAAGTAATACCCATTAATCTGATTACAAAGCCCACAAAAACAAAGAATAGAAACAATTATCCATATGACAACCATCCATCTCCAGAAACAATTAACAACTATATCCAAGAAGCAACATAAACACAGACACATACCTATAAAGAGGTGATTTTGCCACACAATATATAGACTCAAGCACAATCCTCTCCATTTATGAAAAGCTCCCCATTATTGGGGGACATAAATAAGTTTAAAGGCACCTTAAACAATTTATCAAAAAGCAATTTAGACACCTTTAACAGTTTAGCACAACATTGCACACATAATGTAGAATTTGTGTCAAAATTAGATTACAACAAAACTAGTAGAGAAATGTGGACATCAGCAGCCAAACAAAGCAAATAAAATTGAACAAACATTTACACACAAACACACACACACAGACACACACACACACACACACACACACACACACACACACACACACACACACACACACACACACATCTATATAGAGTTTTGACTTTATTAACCTCGATATGGACATTCACTTTCATCCTGGATGAATACGTCATGTTTTGAAGCCTAGCATGTCTAGGCAACAAATTGTACTCCTTATCCTTGTCGGCACCGCCCCAAAAGCTAGGCAGATCAAGTGTGACCTTCCCAAACCTTACTAATGCGTATCTCCACTCATTCTGACGCTTCTTTGAAGGGTCATACCCGGGCTCAACAATGAGATCACCAAAAGAGTCAAATACTTTCTGCACACCATTCCTGATGAAATCATTGTATGAGTTGATTTGGTGACTGATGAGACCATACTCACTGAAGAAAGACGTTGATGCCTCCTTGCAAAAATTCTGCAGAAATACTTCCCCAAGTTCTTTTATGCTTGTTAATTCATTGAACTCTTCTTCATCATCTATGTCCATATCGACTGAGCCTGAAAATTTTTCTCCCTTGCTGCTCATAGCTACATCTTCCTTGGCATCTGATGATGCCCCCATTGTACTAAAATCTTGAAAACAAAATCAAAGTTGATAACATGGAAATTAGCAATGTTTCACTCACAAAAAAAAAAAATATATATATATATAATATAAATAAATAAATAAAAACCCACTTTACTAATTGTAACACGGACCAGAAATAATTAACCAAATGGGCTTGACAAGAAAATAGAAGCAAACCTTAAAAACTTTTTTTGACCCATTAGTGGCACAAGCTTTCCTTTTTCAACAATAATACAAAGAAAACAACAAACAAGAGCAAAATGTTTGAAAGCAGCCCATAAACTATGAGCCCTAAAATCCTATATCATTAACCCGAACAAATGATCCTAGAGAATACAGAATATTTTCCTCCTTCCCTATCAGAATGTGTTTTTCAATCGGCAAATGATATTAGTAATGTTTTTGCTACGAAAGCAAAGAAGAATCTACATGCAGAAACCCATATAGTTCATCAAAGTATTTCCCATTGTGTAAAAACACTTCCAATATGTCAAAACGAAGAACACATGTTCTCTAAACAGCATCAAACCATTCCGTACACCAAAACCCTGGCGCAAAAAAAAAAATCCTCATGCCTCAACCCAAAAAATAGGAAAAAACAGTTTGATCGTTCTTATTTTATGATTTTTTTTTTTTTTTTTTGGCCTCTAAAACAAACCGAACTGCTGCCAAACCCAATTCTCGTAGGACCTTCCTCAGAAAAAAAAAAAAGATAAAGAGTGTGAGAGACGATTGTTTTTGTAAATAATGTTTACACATGATCGAGAGAGCATCAGAAAACAAAGAAATGGGTTCAGAGACGGACACTTACAGTGAGTGAGTTTCGGTTAGCAATTTGAACTAGAACCCAAAACCCCTTTACTCAAAACGATTCTATTTGCTTAGAGAAAAGGCCTTCCCTTTTCTATAAATATATATATATATGGAGAGAGAGAGAGAGAGAATGTGCGTAAGATTTGTGGGTCTTGGCTCTCTCACTCACTCACTCACTCACTGGATTTGAGGAAAATGGAGCTGTTTCTTCTTCTTCTCCTTCTTCTCCTTCTTCTTTTTTCTTTTTTTTGGGAGAGTGTCGCTTCTTTCTGACAGTCACAGTACCCGCACGAAAACTCTATTGGCTCCTTTACCTGGGTCTAAAATGACGTTTATGCCCTCCCTCGTCTCCGGAGTACCGGAAATACCGGCGTAGATTAGAAAGCGAATAACGAACAGCTTGGGGGTGAGATCGTAAAAGTAGAGAGTGAAATGGATTGTACGGATATTTGAAAGGACGCATGTGTCCCAGGCTCCTAGCAAAATGGCCGTTGCGAAAAGATTTTGAAGGGCCATTTCTGAAATATTAGAGCTGAAGTGTTGACGCTTGAAATTTTGGGGTTCTTGAATCTTATTTTTGGGTTAATCCAACAAGTAGCCCCGAGATTTTACTCTCAATTCTATTTAGTCCTTATAGTTGTATTTAGTATGAAGGTTGAAATTAGGATGATTTTAATTTTAGAATCAAAACGTGATTCATAATTTGAATTTGAGGTTCAAATTATAATTCTAGAACCGAAATCAGAATTAAGAATTTGAACCATCTAAAATTGAGAAGGGGGCAGTTTTATTTTTTATGATAGTTCTGATTTAAAACATCACATTAAGGTTTAAATCATGAATCAGAATCATTCAAATCAAATATTGATTTTAAAGAACCATTTTTTACTTTTTGCAGACAAACAAAAGTTTGCATCAGGATCATAGTTCTAGGTTTAGAACCCTCATACCAAACTCGTCCAACTTTTAAAATGCCCTACTGTTAGTCTATGAAATTTTACTCTGTTTTAGTTTTGGTGCTTTCATTAACTATGTATTAAGTATTTGACAGAATTTGTGTAAATTAATAGGGACTGTTTGTAAAAATTAATTTTTATTTTTCATATTGTTTTAATCCCTAATCTTTAGATGTTTTAAATTTTGGTATGTAATTTATCCATATTCCGTTAAATATTTAACACTTAACTAATGAAATAACTAAAATTGAAATAAAGTAAACCTCAGATATCAACTGTAAGATATTTTAAAAGTCAAAGACCAAAGTGAAATTGAAGATAAATCTCATGAATTATTTATGAAATTAATCTTTTTAATTTCTTAATTTTTAATCCCTTAAATCTAATAAAAAAATTTAAACAAATTTAATAAAATAAGACACATTACAATAATCTTATAAATTCATATGGTTAATTGTTAAAATTAAAAGATGAGAAAGTAATTTGTTAAACCACCTAAACTTAAGTTTAGGGGCAAGTGATAATTGGGATACAAATTCAATTCAGCTAATGTGTTCCTTGTTGACCAAAGGCTCGAGGATCGACAGGAAACAAAGGCCTTGTTTGTTTCGCTGATTCGAGTTTTACTACAGTAAAAAGCTTTCACATACAATTACATCTCAACTCGAATCAATGAAACGAACGAGACGTTAATTTATCATTTGAGAAATATTCGGGCCAATATATATATATATATATATATATATATAAAGACACCCCTAACTAATAAAATGACTAAAAAAGACAAATTTAAAAGAAAAGGCAACAAATAAAACAAAAACAAAGAAGTGTTTTCAACGCGCATCCCGTACACCCCATTTTCCAATGGCTTTCGCCCAAATTTCTTCCAAATCCTCCCTTTTAAATTCTCTCTTTCTCCCCCTCTCTCTACTTCCTCAAACAAGCAAATTTGTCCCTCAATTTTGAAGCACCCGTGCTTGTTTTTTCTTAATTTTTGATTTCTGTTACTCTTTCTCACATTCTTTCTCTTTATGTATCTTTGTGTTGCAGATAATATTAGTTCCGCAAAAACGAATTTATTTGCAGAAACACAGAAAACTCAACGAAAAGGAGACGACGCACAATGATTTTTTTTTTAACACAACGTTTTATGGTGTCAATGGAACTTTTTTGTTTTGGGATAGTATTAATGATTTGATTTTACACAAAACAAATTATTGTTGTGGGTGTACTGAGGTGAAACTACATTAAACCCATTTGGGTGAAGGGTACAATTGTAATAAAGAAATATTTTTTTTTTTAGAAATGAGGTGTGTTAATAAAAGAGTGGGGTGTGAATATAATTTCCATTGTCATTTTAGTGTCCATTGATCTCTATCCAATTGAAAAACTGTCTCAGCTTTTCTTTTTTCTTTTTTGCAATTATAATAATGTTCTTTTTCATTTATGTTTTGTGTTGTTTTGACCACGATGGTAAATAGATGCCTCTAACTTAAATAAATAAAGATCCAAATTGGCGGACCTTACATGGAAACCTGGCTTCTAGATTGTGGAGAAAGGAATGCTAAAGATATCTAAGAAAAACAATTTGCTTCTAGCATCCGAAATCAATAGTCAATAAAAGTAGAGTTCAATTTTGATTCCAATTTTCAATCCAGCCGACGTAGGAGGTACTCAACTTCAACATGTTTGGTGAGAGGCATTATCCATTCACCGTAGAGGCGCGAAACCATGGATGGATTAATCTTGTACTTTCCCTTGCTCTCAGTGCTGTTAAGGGTTACTTCCTGCGAAAATATCTTCGCCTTCTTCTCGACCCTCTTCTTCACCATCTCTTCTACAGCCTCAAATGTCAACAACTTCATCAGAGCATCTCTGTCCTGAAGATTTCATAATGTTACCAACTACTACATTAGAACATCATACAAAATGCCATGATCATTCTTGTTATTGAACCCCCATTTTCGGTTATAGTACCAAATCATCTGGCATAGCCAAACTAGTATCTAACAACAAACCAACCTGAGCACGAATTGCAGGCTCGTAGTCTTGTGGGGCATCCCTGAATTTCACCTCAGCTACAAAGTTTCCATAGTGAATCCTTCTAGAGATGGCCTGCAAGTAATTGTAATCCACCATCAATACTAGTATCAGTTTATTTCACTCATGATGGCTAGAAAGTTATGAAGAAAGTTATTTATAAAAACCATAAAGCACAACAGAATGTTAATTTAATAATTTATCATGAAAGTATTTTATCTCGAAAAGAAGACTTGAGGCCCGTTCGGTATATAGGTTCAAATCATAGTTCAAATCAATGATTTTGATTATAACTTTTAAAATTTAAATTTTTTGTGAGAGAGAATCAAAATTATAAATTTGAATCCGTGAAGAACCCATCTATGAAAGTAACCAGAGTCACATAATTGACCGACATAGTCGAATATTTTTTCATCTCAAATCAGTGACAGAAATTCAACACTTGTAGAATATCCAACACACAACAGGTATCTTTACCTGTAAGCAATTGAGGTCACTAGAGGCAGTTGATGCATAATTTCCATCATCACCTGGTTCGGTCAACAAAGGAAGCAATTCTTTGAAATACATATCCCATATTTGATCGTTCACATTGATGAAATCCGCCGCACGATGCAATACCTACAAAAGTAGTTTTTACTTTTTATTGTTTAAGAGCAAAATTAAGTTTACTTTTTTCCCAATTTTTGAAAAAAAAAAAAAAACAGAGAGAGAGAGAGAGAAAACTATCTGGTATAGATAATTACCAGTGGATAGTCATATGGTGGCACTAATGAAGGTGGCGTAACATCCGGGAAGAAGGGATGTTCTTCAGGATTTTGAAACCTACCAGCCTGCAAATAATTCTCATGTCATGTTCAAGACACGTAGCAATTTAAAGAAGCATAAATTGCAATATTAGGTTTTTACTCTCAATTGTACTGAAAATGTGTAGTTTATTATTCTTTTATGTAGGTGAGAAAAAATCAGTGTAATTAAAAAATTAATTTTGAATTTTTTTTAGAGAAAATACTGTGGTTGTGTTTAGAATTGATCCCGTTTTTATTTTTCAAATTTTTTAAAAAAAAATTAAAATGTTTGCGTTTGGCACAATAAAGACAAAAAACAGAAATGAAAACGATTTTTTAATTTAGTGTAAAATGAGAAAAAAATAAAAAACGGCTTTTAATTATTTTTCATTTTTTATTTTCATTTTATCATCTCTCGAGTAGAGAAAAAAAGAGAGACATTAATAAATTTTTTATACTGAAAATAATCTCTTAATAAAATTACTAAATACATTTTTAAAAATAATTTATATTTAAATTAAAATTATTTTTATTTTTATTTACATATAAAAAATTAAAATTATTTTAAAATGAATTCTAAATGCGTCATGTAATTTGAGTGGTAAAAAGGACAACCAAATGCGAATCAATTCGATTTCGAGAAGAATGGCATGCATGTTACTAATGAGCCCTGTACAGGTACGTGGGTGGGACATGCTCTGTTTGTCAAAGAAAAAACAGTAAACCAAATAAAGCCGAAAGTGCTTTGGACTTATATTTTCAGATTTATATGAACAAATAGAACTGCCCGTTAAATTTATTTTTCCCTAATTTTTGTATACATTTCTGTTTTCACGTTATTTTGTTGATCAAATGTCCGTTTCGTTTCGTTCACTGATTTAAGTTTTTAATTTAAATTAAGATGTGATTTTATATAAAAATTTTTTATTATAATAAAAAAATTAAATGTAATTATTTATAAAAAAATTTTATTATAACGAATCAAAATGAACGAGAAGTGCGTAAACGTGCAAAGATATTAAAGGCAAAAAGACGACAACTACACGCAACAAGTCTAAAAAAAAACAGAAAACAACTTCCAATCTGACAATTTTATATTTCAGAAATGAATAAAAAATAGAAGCCAGAAGAAAAAGCATATAAAAATTCACTATCAAAATCAAAACATTCATTTTTATTCGGAAAAATAAAAAATCAAACTTACCTTCGCCTGCGCGGCTTCAGTTTCCTTAACAATGAATTGAACCAGAGAACCACCGAATCCGAGAATGGAGGCCCGAGATTCATCGTAAGTAGGAGAATTAATGGGAAACTTGGCTCTCTCAATGAGATAGAAAATAATGGTGTCTTCTTGTCTGACCAAGGCGTCTCTGACGGCGTCGAGCGTCATTCCGGCAGCCGAATCGGAAGAGGCCTCCGTTTCCGCCATAGCCGAAAGGTCTCTATCACAAAACACCAAAAAAACCAGAATCAGTACCGCAAAAGCCATTTGTCTGCCAAATGATTGGACTCTTTGAGAGATGAAAAATGGTGGGTTTTAGATGTAACAAAGAGGATATATAACATCAACGGGAGAGAAAATTTTAAAGGCATGATTGGGTGGGGTGTGTGTGGACGAGCGTGGCACAAGCACGTTGACTCTGTTTTTTGTGCTCTTGTTTTAGGATTAAAGTTGACTCTTGAAATACATAAAAATGGAAAGTCAATCAGTATTAATGGGTGGAAAGAAGAGATTAATTACCAATTAATGATGAAGAACTGGAGGAGAAGCAACAACCTGTTGTTTGGGGGAGTTTTTAAAGTGATTGGGTCGGGAACTGAGAAAGGAGAGAAGGCGATAATGGGAGCCACAGAGGGATGAGGAGGGGTTTTATAAGGCGTTTGCGTGCGATTCCGTCGTGGCGTTTGCGTGGCTATACCATGAATTTGAGTGCGACCTCGCAAGTGACCCACACGTTTTTTTATTTATTTATTTATTTATAATTGGCAACACTACGGTGGAACTTAAAAAAAAAAAAAAAAAAAAAAAAGGGAAAATACACAAAATAACATATTTTATTGATCTTAATGAAGTATATAACATATTCTTCTAAAACTGTTCAATTATAGCGTGTGTGCAACTTTCATTTTAAAATAAATTTATTTTTTCAAATTTTCTTCACTCTCAGCCAACACTTTCCCCCTCTCTCCACCGCGTCGATCTTTCTCTCCCATATCGCCGGCCAAACTCCAGTATTACGAATCAAACCCCGACGAACTCAGGAGTCCTTGGAGATCGTTGTCTCTGACCAAGGACGACGAGGATAGATCTGCAGTTTGCAGATTAAGCATGACGGCGACGAATATCGACGCCTGGGAAGACCTCCTCGATCTGGTTAAGACATTACCGCCGCCATCGCTATTGCAATCTCTGTCACCTTCGACACAAATCCGCACAGGAGAAAACCTTGGCGGCTATGGATTTCAGTTCTGCCTCCTATGTGTATCAATATATCACTTCTGCCGCCGGAGATCGAGCACAACAGCAAAGCCGTCATGGAACTCTGTCTTACATCGCGTTGGAAGTTGTCTTCTCCGTCTCGGATCTCTGACCCTTCGCGAAGATAACAAATCTCCAGGAAACATTGCACCGAGGCTGAGGTCTGACGGGAGTTCCGCACCATTGTGAATCACGAGATCGTCCCTCTCTCTCTCATCGCCACCGCTTGTGTACAAAGCAAATTCTCTCCCGAACACTTCCACTACTCAGAATGAAGAATATGTGTGTGTTAATTTTTATCGCATGGTAGGATTCGTCCTTGATATGGTTGTGGGTGTATTTTTTCTAGATACGAATGAACTTGTGAATTTTGTCTACATTTGAATTTTGTGAATGAATTTCGTCTAGTCTTAATTTTAGAGAATCTGTATCTGAATGAATTTTGTGAATTTCGGGAGAATTTTGATCTGATTTTTGTACAATTGTCTCCACTGGATTAAATAGTGTATTTATTGGTAAATATGGTATTCACCAGTAAATATTGTGTTTTAACGGTTGCCGGGGTCGGTTACCGAATCTTCGGATAAATATAATATTTACTAGTAAAGATAATATTTATCAATAAATACAGTGTTAACGGTCATCGGAGTAGGTGGCTAAATTTTTTAATAAATATGATATTTACTAGTAAATACAGTATTTATTGATAATATATGGTATTTACTTGTAAATACAGTGTTAAACGGTCACCGAAATCGGTGATCGACTTTTCGGGTAAGTCTCGGATCCCTAACCCTTCGTGAAGATACTAGATCTCTAGGAAACATTGCGCCGAGGCGGAGTTCCGCACCATTGTGAATCGCGAGATCGTCCCTCTCTCTCTCTCATTGCCACCGCTTATGCACAGAGCAAATTCTCTCCCGAACACTTCCACGGCTCAAAATGAAGAATATGTGTGTTAATTTTTATCGCATGGTAGGATTCGTCCTTGATGTAGTTGTGGGTGTATTTTTTTCTAGATTTGAATGAACTTGTGAATTTTGTCTAGATTTAATTTTTGTGAATGAATTTCGTCTAGTCTTAATTTTAATGAATCTGTGTTTGAATGAATTTTGTGAATTTCAGGAGAATTTTGATCTGATTTTTGTACAATTGTCGCTACTGGATTAAATACTATATTTACTGGTAAATACGGTATTCACTGGTAAATATAGTGTTTTAACAGTCGCTGGAGTTAGTTACCGAATCTTCGGATAAATATGATATTTACTAGTAAAGACAGTATTTATCAATAAATACAGTGTTTAACGGTCACCAGAGTAGGTGGCCGGATTTTTTGAGTAAATATGATATTTACTAATAAGTACAGTATTTATTAATACATATCGTATTTACTTGTAAATACAGCGTTAAACGGGCGCCGGAGTCGGTGGTCGGATAAATATGATATTTACTAGTAAATACGGTATTTACAAGTAAATATAGTGTTAAACGGTCATCGAAAAACTGTCATCGGTCACCAGAAAACGGGCACCGGTTGCTGGAGCTAATCGTGAAAGCCGGCCGCCAGTCCCGGCCATGGTGGACTTGACTATAATCTATCTATTTTAAAAAATATGCTATAATTTACTATTTAAAAAAAATAAATGTTTACAGGGGAGGAATAAGGTGGAAAAAGAGGTTTAGGGGTATTTTTTAGTTTTTAATAATGTTTAAAACTTAAAATATTAAATTATACTATAATTTACTATGTTTCAAAAACATATAATAATTTACTAATCACTTTACCAATTATGTTATTTTCCTCTGGATTAATTTTTCAACGATCAGACATGTACATGTTCGCATTGAAAATTAACAGTGTGTCACACATAGCTATTCATATTACAAATCTGACCGTTGAAAATTAATCCAACAGTTAAAAGTAATGGTTCTACCGGTGGAGGTTTTTTAAGGGTCTCACGTTTAGAAATGCAACTTTTCTCTTGGATTAGCAAACACCTGTTCTTACTTTCTTAACTTCATGCCCCCTTTAGTTTCATAATTCGAAACACAACTCGAACTTTATGCTACAATATTTTCTTATACAAAACTTCAAATCTAATTTTTTTGTGCAACTATTTCCTCTCATATAAATTCACTACTCAACCCAAATTCTCAATGCGAACCAGCGAAATGAACAGGCCTAGGTACTCCAAACTCTCAATTGGTCGTAATAGTTAATACCCTTACTTTTCTTATTAACTGAAGTGAAATCTTAAGATCAAAATCTCTAGTTTTTTCTTCCTAATATTTCCAATTAGTTGTTGTCTTCCTAATATTTCCAATTAGTTGTTGTCATCCCTACATGAACTTAACTAAACCTTGGCTTCGAAGAAGTATTGCAACAAATCGAATTCGTTCAGCAACAGATAAAAAAGTTTAAAGAAATGTAGGTCGAAACAAATTGAAGACAACCCCTTACAGAGAAATTAAAGCATATGTGCCATAGGTGCACGCCATTCTTGGAGCATTGGATGCGGTTCTCCTATTTCTAAGCCTCCATGGTCGTGATATCATAATGTTTCGCATTCTAACTTATGAATCCTACAAGAAAATCAACCTAAAACAGCCTATGTGCGGTCACGTGACTGTTTTCTGTGTGTTATTAGACTTTATTAATAAGTTATTTAATATAAAAGGAGAGTTAGATAAGAGTAATAAGAGTTTGTTGTTTGTAGTAGAGAAGAGAGTTTTTTCTTTTTTCTTTTTTTAATTGAAAAAGCGAAGTGGGGACGAGAACAAAACTCAATCAAATATGGATATTTTTAATTATATATATATATTTTTTTCCAATTTGTGCCGTTATGGAGATGGCCCCATTTTTTTTTTTTTTTTTTGTCTTTGCCCTGTGTCGTCTTTTTATTGTCCGCTTCTTTCTTATTTTGCACTTCTTTTTCAAATAGACTTTCAACGATAATAATATTCCGTCTCCAAAAATAATAATAATAACAGATTAGCAAAAAAATAATAATAAATAATAATAATTCTTCTTGATGATGAAACATATATGGAAAGAAAGAGCAAAGAGAATTCAAGTGTTTCCTAAAAAAAGGAAAAAAAATAAAGAAAATTACGTGATAAATTATGAAAAATAATTTTTACTATAGTTTTATTATTATATAACCTTTTCAATTTGTTAGATTTTTAGTTAAATTTTATCAAATATTTTTTAGTTTGTTCTCTGTAAAAATATGCATATTTGAGAAAATGTAAAGATAATTAATATTAAAAAACTAGAATCAAGTAATGGAGAAAAGTATAATAACAAATTATATTGATATTACGCATTTTTTAACCATCAATTTTTTTATTAAATTTTATTAGACTTACCTATTTACTAAAAAACTATTTTTCTTAATACAAATAAAAGCAAAACTTATTTTCTACCATTAAATACTATTATTTTAACAGTCTAATTTATAACTGAAAATAATTCTGCATTGCACACTTTTAATTTTTAAGGTGAACACTCACACATCATCATATCAATGCTTTACATATAATTGGAATGTTTTTATAAATTGTATTATTTTATGTAACAAGCTCGTTACTGCGTAGGTTATATTTCAAAAATATATCGTCAATCTGATATTAGGACTAAAATGTCAAAAAATAAATATATTATTTTCAAGACTCATCACGTCACTTCTCAAAAAAAATTCAGGCTAGAAAGCCTTTTGCTAATTCAATTGTTTCTCTTAGTTAAAAATCTCACATCATCTAAGAAAAATAAAATTACTCCCACTCGGTCCTAAATAAAAAAGATTAAAAAAAAGAATAAATAAATGATCCAATATGCTTCCAGCTTATCTAGAAACATGAACGGCACAAGCAAGCACCGAATCCAGCAACGTTAGAGTCGTTTCCAAGATAAGACCCGTATTCTTAATCTTAACTACCAAGCAACCACGCTTAATGAAAGGGCACCAGCAATATTCGTTGATAAAAAGAGGAAAATGATATCACGAAGCAAAAAGACAAAAGATAAACTGTTTACATGGTTCCAAAATGATAACTAAAATTTCACATTAATTCATGAATTTTTAGATTCAAACGAAATAGTCCATAAACTAATCAAATAGTTCCCTCTTCTTAGCACTTTTCATTGAGCCTCCTTTAAGAAAGGATACTAAAAACAACGACTTCTGCCCGGACGCAAGGGACAACAAAAAAATAAAAATATAAAATAAATAAATAAATCAAATCTACGAACGAACCAAACCATTTTTCTTTCACCCTTCATCTATTTATTGTTTTTCAGAAAATTTCCCCTTTAATTAACGGAGATTGTTAATAGAAAAATTTAAGGCTGTTCTTTTAGGGCCCGTTTGGTTCGCTGATTCGAGTTTAGAATTTGAATTTTGCTACAGTAAAAAGCTCTCATAAACAATCACATCTAACTTTTTTACTATAATAAAAAGCTCTCACATAAAATTACATCTCAACTCGAATTCTGTACTCGAATCAGCGAAATGAACGGGGCCGAGTGTAATTTGAGCGTAATTTTTAAGTTGAATTTGAGTTATAACTTGAGTTGAAATTGTAATTTGAATTTGTGTTTAGTTGTGTACATTTGAGTTATAGTTTAAGATAAGAATCTTTTTTTGAATTTGTATGAATCAAAACTTAAATTTGTATTTAGATAATATTTTAATAAAAACTTAATGGTGATGAAAAATTTTAATAAGGTATATTAGTGGGATTTTATTCATCTTTTCATTATCAATGCATAGAAAAAAAATCATCTCAATCAAAATTAAAACGAAAAAATTATAACATTTTTAAGAATAGAAAAAATACTGTTCATTAATTTGAGTTCGAGTTTCTGAACTCGAGTTGAAGGAGACACTCAAACTCGAGTTTTAATCTCAAACTTAAGTTTAAACTTAAAAGAACATGATCTTGAATAAAGTTGAAACTCGAGTTGCATTTTTTTTGAGTTTTTTGGGCAACCGAACACATTAGACTTCTGCTCTTGAAATTAAAGTTTAAAAACAAAACAGATAATTTTAAAAGGACCCAACCGATTTTCCAATAATTCAAGACCAGGAAATAGCTGTCCTGCTTAATGGCCTTAAATGCATAATTGCAACTTAACCTTCAACTTCAATATTCATGTATTAGAATTTTATAAATTTTATTATTTTATGTAACAAGCTCGTTACTGCGTAGGTTATATTTCAAAAATATATCGTCAATCTGATATCAGGATTAAAATGTCAAAAAATAAATATATTATTTTCAAGACTCATCACGTCACTTCTCAAAAAAAATTCAGGCTAGAAAGCCTTTTGCTAATTCAATTGTTTCTCTTAGTTAAAAATCTCACATCATCTAAGAAAAATAAAATTACTCCCACTCGGTCCTAAATAAAAAAGATTAAAAAAAAGAATAAATAAATGATCCAATATGCTTCCAGCTTATCTAGAAACATGAACGGCACAAGCAAGCACCGAATCCAGCAACGTTAGAGTCGTTTCCAAGATAAGACCCGTATTCTTAATCTTAACTACCAAGCAACCACGCTTAATGAAAGGGCACCAGCAATATTCGTTGATAAAAAGAGGAAAATGATATCACGAAGCAAAAAGACAAAAGATAAACTGTTTACATGGTTCCAAAATGATAACTAAAATTTCACATTAATTCATGAATTTTTAGATTCAAACGAAATAGTCCATAAACTAATCAAATAGTTCCCTCTTCTTAGCACTTTTCATTGAGCCTCCTTTAAGAAAGGATACTAAAAACAACGACTTCTGCCAGGACGCAAGGGACAACAAAAAAATAAAAATATAAAATAAATAAATAAATCAAATCAAATCAAATCTACGAACGAACCAAACCATTTTTCTTTCACCCTTCATCTATTTATTGTTTTTCAGAAAATTTCCCCTTTAATTAACGGAGATTGTTAATAGAAAAATTTAAGGCTGTTCTTTTAGGGCCCGTTTGGTTCGCTGATTCGAGTTTAGAATTTGAATTTTGCTACAGTAAAAAGCTCTCATAAACAATCACATCTAACTTTTTTACTATAATAAAAAGCTCTCACATAAAATTACATCTCAACTCGAATTCTGTACTCGAATCAGCGAAATGAACGGGGCCGAGTGTAATTTGAGCGTAATTTTTAAGTTGAATTTGAGTTATAACTTGAGTTGAAATTGTAATTTGAATTTGTGTTTAGTTGTGTACATTTGAGTTATAGTTTAAGATAAGAATCTTTTTTTGAATTTGTATGAATCAAAACTTAAATTTGTATTTAGATAATATTTTAATAAAAACTTAATGGTGATGAAAAATTTTAATAAGGTATATTAGTGGGATTTTATTCATCTTTTCATTATCAATGCATAGAAAAAAAATCATCTCAATCAAAATTAAAACGAAAAAATTATAGCATTTTTAAGAATAGAAAAAATACTGTTCATTAATTTGAGTTCGAGTTTCTGAACTCGAGTTAAAAGAGACACTCAAACTCGAGTTTTAATCTCAAACTTAAGTTTAAACTTAAAAGAACATGATCTTGAATAAAGTTGAAACTTGAGTTGCATTTTTTTTGAGTTTTTTGGACAACCGAACACATTAGACTTCTGCTCTTGAAATTAAAGTTTAAAAACAAAACAGATAATTTTAAAAGGACCCAACCGATTTTCCAATAATTCAAGACCAGGAAATAGCTGTCCTGCTTAATGGCCTTAAATGCATAATTGCAACTTAACCTTCAACTTCAATATTCATGTATTAGAATTAAGTCCTCCAGATATGAAATCATATCAGAAGAAAGTTTAATCTGAAAACCCACATCCGAAGTAAAACATGCCCAGATCATAGAAATATTATCCTAAGCCAAATATATATATATATATATATATATAAATGACACAACATAGATGCTATAATGTGCATAGGAAAGTCAACGAACATCTCCGAAATACCAGAGAACATGAAGGTTTGTGTCCATGAATTTCAACAATATGACATACGCACTATTGAAAGTTCATTCAAGGAGGTTTGAGGTACTAGTTTAGCAGGCAGAGAGAGGCCAAAGGACTGGTGAAACTTAATTCTTTGGGCCAATGTCCTTCAGAGCACAAATCTGCTCTTCTCCCATGGCTGACATAACTGAGACAACAAGGTCTTTCCCTTCAGCAAACCCATCTTTAATCTGCAGAAATGAAAACGCAACATATGTTTACAAAAATGGAAAGAGTAGAAATAATCCAGAGATCGCCACTTCAAATCAGAAAAATGGGGAGCATCAACATCGTAGCATTTGTCTCACCTGGGAGAGAAGAGCTTCATCAGTAGGAAGCCTTAAATCATCCTTGGTGTTACCATTGTCAGTCAAGAGACTCACCTGCATAGAAGAATTGATAAGTGAATAGAATGGTCAAATGGTGCTAGAATTTTGGACCAAAAACACTGGACTTCAAACACGGAGCCTTGACATGAGTACAGAGGTTCAGGCTGCTTGGAAATCTCGTAAAAATTGGTCCCTTTTTCCTCAATCCCACACAATTAACAATCTCAACTCTATAGCTGATAAAAGATACTAGCTCACAAGTACAAGAGAGTGAGAAAACGATCAAAGCGTGTAAAGTGACCAGGTTTACCAGTGACGCTGGTAATAAATTTGATAATTTCATGTTGGCCGAAACTTCAAAGAAAGCATAACGGGGAGAAATGTTAAAGTCAATAAGCTTGCAGAAAATCAAAATGGTTATATGAGCACAGATTCTTAATTTAAAAGAAAACAATCACTCACAAATCCATCTTCCGATATGTCAATCAGCTGATAATCGGTACGGTTAACATGTGGAACCTACAGAAACCAAACAAACACAAGGACAGAGTAATTGTCAGCAATTTTAAGGTAACAAACAACAATTGAATATAAAAAAGAAAAGGTTATAGTTTGCCAAATGTATGAAAAAAAATCCTTACATCACAGTTGTGGGAAGACGGAACAATATCTTCGAGTTTCTTGGCGGTAAAAATGTCAATTGCAACAAAGTGACACTTAGCATGTCCGTGCTTGCCTGTTTTGGAGGTTGACACCTCAACAACCTGTCTCAACAATCCACAACAAATTCCATCAGAATCAAATTTCCCACCAAGCGATAAATCCCAAGTGAGAAAAAAACACCAAAAAGCTAATCGACCCTTGGAAAAAATATAAGCATGTCCACAAACATGCATCATTACAATCATAACACCAACTGTAAGTAATTATTGCAATCCATCCGTTATAATTCAGTTCTTCAATTGTTGCTAACTACATAACCACTTTCAATTTGTGTTTATTCAACAAAATTATTGCTTTTTCCCTTCAGTTAACTTGTGGAAAATCCTATTCCTATATACACATATTATGCAACATAAAATGTAGTCAATAATTTCAGCACAAACGATTAAAATATCCTTATATTTCTTCACTTTTTGAAGATTAGAGAAACAAAAAGGAAAAAAAAAAAAAAAAACTCTATTATACCTCTGTGAAAACGAAACAAATTAATTAATCCCTCCTATACACTTTGTGCACTTGTTCGAAACTATACCGATTAAATCCGACAAAATAAAATCCAAAATTCAACGAATCCAAAGTTTGAGCATACACGAAAGGAAAAAAAAAAGGTAATCAAATCCAATTCAACCGCATCAATCATCCAGCTCCAAATCCATTCCAAAAACAACAGTAGAAATAAATAGAGCTTCGAGATCTAAATCAAACACGAACAAAATCAAAACATAATTGCGATATATATAGATATGGATATATAGATATAGAGAGAGAGAAGACCTTGCAGGGACGGCCTTTGATGACGATGTAACCGTTCTTGCGGATGGTACCGGCTTGCTGGGGATAGGTCTTGGAGGCTCCGGCGTCTGCCTTGGATTCGAAGTGGTGCTCTTCGTCCGACATTTTCTCTCTCTACACCTGCTTTCTAAAGCTTCTCTCTCTCCTTTCTCTATCTGTGTGTGTTTTCGGCTTTTGGTATGGATTTCGAAGGAGAGCAGGAGGAGAAAAGCGAATGATTTTTAGGGCTCTATTTATAGATGCCCATGCCCTATTTCTAGGGTTTTTATTATCTGCATATTTGTTACTCTTATCATGTTCCAGCTCTCTGTTGACTAATGATAGCCCTTCGATTCTCATCATTAATCCCACCAATCTACTTTCACGGCTTAGATCTTTTCTTCTTTTATTTTTTTTTTCCTTTTACCTTTTTAATTTTCTTGGCTGAACGCTTTTTTTTTTTTTTTTTTTTAATGAAGCTTGCAGTGACGAACCTACGAATTTTAATCAGGATGGGCTAATCAATAGTGGAGTAAAAAAAGATTTTTTTGTGAGACTATTATGAAAAAGATAGCAATAATTTCTTTTTTTTCCGAATAGAGATACAGTATATTTTGTAATTATTCAGTCATGACACAATTATAATTTTTATTATATAGTGAGGGTATGATTCAAAATTTCATAAGAATTTTGAACAAAATTTACATTATATAGCAATAACTTTTCAATTTTGGGGGAAGCAAAAGAAAGTTTTTAACTTTTAGGGGGCCATCTACATATTTGGCATAAATGAATATTTAAAATGGCAAATAAAAAAAAAAAAAAAGTTGACGCCCCCCCCCGGCATGCAATGGCTTCGTCCCTGAAAGGGTAAAGAATTCTTTTAAAAAAAGTTGACGCCCCCCCCGGCATGCAATGGCTTCGTCCCTGAAAGGGTAAAGAATTCTTTTTTTATTTGTTACTAGTTTTGTAACATGTTTCGTATATCGTCGTGTTGAAAATACTCAAAGAATTTATAATTTATCAGATAATAAAAAATTCATTTATACAATTATCTAAAGATTTTTAAATTTATTTTAAAAAAAATTATATGTAAAAATAATAATTGACACAAAAAATTAAGTATGCACGCATTTAAAGAAAATTATTTAAACTAACTAAAAATAAAATAATAACCATGTGAAAAAATTTAAGAATAAAGTGAAAAACAATATATTTAAAAAAACACACACACAACAAAATTCAAATGTAAAAAAATCACAAAAAATAAAGCTAAAAAAATAGTAAAATGAATGGGCAGCCACGTGGCAGCCTCATAAATTTTAAAAAATTCACCCAAACAAAATTCTAATTCAATTTTGAGAACCAATAAAACTATAAAACGCCTAAATAAGTAATATGAAAATAAATTTTTTTTTTAAAAAGGTAATGTGAAAATATACAAATTGTGAACTCGAAAGAAAATTTGAGAAAATAAACAAATTGTTCTTCTAACTTGTTTCTCGATTTTACGTAATTCTAAGTTTTTGTAATTCAATTTTGAGAACCAATCAGATTATATAACATCTTAAATGATGTTGTTGGAGACATCTCAAGTTGTTTTAAGATTTTGAAAGTTATACTTACTCTTTTCCTATATAATTAGCAAAAAGGATAACCATAGTTTTATTTTTCGTATCATGAAGTTTAGAGAAATAAATCTCTGACGAACTTGTCATACATTTGTTAGGAGGAGATTCGGAGATGCTGATGTTTGTACTGATCCGGTTGTTCAGCATCATGGACTAGCCATCGTTCTATGGTATTTGTTGATAATCAATTCCTAATGAAATTGATGTGGCAGTTGCTTGACGCCACAATCTTTACTTGATCCAAAATGTGTGACGTTTATACAGTTTATTCAAACTCAAAAAAAGTTTGAACTCAAGTTATAATTTTATTTAAATTCATATTTTTTTATAAAATTTAAGTTTGAACTTGAATTTTAACTTAAAATTTGGGTTAAAATATGCTTTCAAATTTCCTATTCAACTCAAGTTCATAAACTCAAACTCAAATTAATGAATAGTATTTCTTATATTCTTAAAAATGCTATAACTTTTTCTTTTTAATTTTGATTGAGATGATTTTTTTTATGTATTCACAACGAAAAGATAAATAAAACATCACCTATATACCCTATTAAAATTTTTCATCACCATTGAGTTTTTATTAAAATACTATCCTAATACAAATTCAAGTTTTGACTCATCCAAACACAAATTTAAATAGATTTTCAATTTAAATCATAATTTAAATGTACACATTTAAACACAAACTCAAATTAGAACTCCAACTCAAACCAAACTCAAATCAAGATATGAACTCAAATCACTATAACTTAAAAAAAACAAATGAACAAACCCATAATATTATTCTAAAGCGATCTATTAATCTACTAATAAGTCGTTTTAAAGAGATTTATTTGAGCGAAACTTTTGGTGGGAAATTCAAGAAATGAAAAAGTTATGGTTGTGTTTGAAGTTGTTTTTGTTTTTATTTTTCACGTTTTTTTAGTAAGAAAAAATAAAAATGGGAGAGCAACGTTGTTTGACACAATTAAAGATAAAAAATGAAAATGAAAATGATTTTTTTAGTTTAGTGTAAAATGTGAGAGAAATGAAAAATGACTTTCAGTCGTTTTTCATTTTTTATTTTCATTTTCTTTTCTCTCAAGTAGAAATAGACATTAATGGATTTTTTTATACTGAAAATAATCTTTTAATAAAACTACTAAACACATTTTCAAAAATATTTTATGTCTGAGATTGAAAATATTTTTTTTATTTTTATAAAAAAAATAAAATTATTTTAAAACGAGTTTTAAATACATTTTATTTTGTGCCTTGCGACAAACTCTTTTTGCGCACAAAGAGAACTGGAAAATTTTAAAAACTAAGGGCATGTTCTTTTGGAGTGTGACTTGAGTGTAGTTCTTGAGTTGAATTTGAGTTGAAGTTGTAACTTGAGTTTGTGTTTAGTTGTGTATATTTGAGTTATGATTTGAGATAAGAATCTTTTTGAGTTTGTGTTTGAGTAAGTCAAAACTTGAATTTGTATTTAGATAGTATTTTAATAAAAACTCAATAATGATGGAAAATTTTAATAGGGTATATGGGTGGGATTTTATTCGTCTTTTTGTTGTCAACGCATAGAAAAAAAAATCATCTCAATTAGGATTAAAACGAAAAAATTATAGTATTTTTAAGAATGGAAAAAATACTGTTCATTAATTTGAGTTCGAGTTTTTGAACTCGAATTGAAAGAGAAACTTGAACTCAAATTTTAATCCCAAACTCAATTTAAACTCAAATTTAAATTTAAAAAAACACGAATTTAAATAAAATTTAAATTTAAATTATTTTTTTTTAAGTTTTTGAGACCGCCGCCGAACAATAAAAAGTTGTGAGAGTTCCTCTCGTGCGACCAGCATTTTGCATTTTGATACTATCGGTAGGTCCAATATGTCTGTTACTCATTGATCCATGTTCTGCGGTTGTATCATGTAAACGTGCACAAGCGCACACAGAATATTTGTAACTCTTTTCCCAAATGGAACTTATCACAACAACACCTGGCATAACTTTCCTCTTTTTGATACCTCTTCATCTGCTGCAGCCTATGTCAGTTTAGTTTAGGTTCCGTTATCCTATAGAATTATTCTTATTTTTATTTTTTATGTCTTAAAAAAAATGGAAACGATTTTAAAATTATATTTAGTATAATTCAAGATAACAAATAAAAATAAAAATAATTTTTTAATTTAATGTAAAATAGAAGAAAAATAATTTTTAATTATTTTTTATTTTTTATTTTTATTTTTTTATAAATAAAGAGAGATATTAATAAATTTTTTTATATTAAAAATAATTTTATAATAAAATTATTAAATATATTTTTAAAAATAATTTTTATCTAATATTAAAAATATTTTTATTTTTATTTTTATATAAAAAATAAAATTATTTTAAAACCAATTTTAAAGGCACCGAACGCAACAATTTGAAATTAGTGACAACACGTCTTCTGTAACACACTCAAAATCCTTAGTTAAATTGGAAAACGAATTATTCTTCGTTTCCAAAAGAACACTGGCCAAGAAGGAACAGAGGGGGCGGATTAGTAAGTGGCTTGCAACGGAGAAGGAAGATGAATGCGGAGGCTCGCGGTTCGTAGATAAGGCTGAGTTCGGGATTCACGGCCGAGCGAAGAGGCTGGGGTTTGTGATTCGCGACGAAGTGGCTGATTGGGTTTGTTCATGGCGGGGCGGCGGTTTGGGTAGCATTTGATCGCAGAGAAATGCGACCTGTTGTCGCCATTCATGGAGTAGCAGAGTCGCCTAGGCTCGTGAGTTGGTCGAGAAGCGCGACTGGGTAGTAGTCACCTGGGGTCAGGAGGTTCGCGGTGGATGTGGTTGGGTGTCGAGGTTCATCAAGGCAGCCGATGAAGACGCAATAGAGACTGGAGGCTGAGGTGATGAAACCCTAAGGGATGGGTTTGGAATAAAAAATAAAAAATCAGCCAAACAAGATTTGAAAAACGAAGAAAGTATGTCGAGAAGATCAGCGAAGATCGCGTCGCCGTGGGAGGGACGAGCCGAGATGACGCCGTCGCGTGAATTTTCCGTTCAAACTTCATCACCCAAAACCCGTAATAGCAAGAACAAATAATCTGTAATCTTTCAATCAAAAAAAAAAAATCCCAAACGGTGGCAGAGTAGGTCGCCGTCGTCTACGCACAGGAGAGATTGTGTCGCTACGGGGGTGGGGTTCGCACCGTCATCGTCAAAGGAGGACTAGTCGGTCTTTGTTCTTTAGGCGGGTCTGGGTTTGAACCCAGACTTTACACTTGATCTAGATGAGAAAAATAAAAAAGCATAAAAATGTATGATGTTTGTATTTGCGGTCAATTTTGCCCCGGTTGGATTCTATAAAATGTTAATTTTTATGAAGGAGAGTGGCTAATCACATATAGTAGATCCATAACCATAAATGTGGTTCCAATATGTCATTGACGTTTTATACCTCTTCATTTCGTAGATTTAAGTTTTTAATTTGAGTTAAAATGTGATATTTTTTTAAAATTTTTAACTGTAGCAGAAAAAATTAAATGTGATCTTTTTTAAAAAATTTTAACTGTAAAAACTTAAAACTAAAAACTCAAATCGGTAAAATAAATAAGGCCTTAATCTCCTGATTTTAATCCAACGTCAAACCTACTGGTGGTTCCAAAAAGGAGATCTCACCAGAGACACTTGTATTCTTTCTATCATAAATCTAAATTATTTGAGGGGTTTTTTTTTTTTGGGCTAATCAAATTATTTGAGGATTTACTCATTATCTATTGTTTTAAATTCTTCCTTTTAAATTATTTGTAGGTTTACTCATTCTCTATTGTTTCAAATTCTCTCTTTTATTGATTCTCTAGATCACTCAGTATTTTTCCTAGACTTGGTGGGATAATATGGCATTACTCAAACAATGGGCTTTCTTAAGATAAGTTACAGTGTAGGCTTCTTACTGCATTACAGGATCAGGTTTCTTCCATCTGATCAAGATACATTGCAATGCTGGTGGAAGAGGTTTCGGCCTTTAGGGACTAACTCTTATAAACGACATGCATAGCACGATGTTGAAACGTGTTGGGTGCGTTTATAATTCGTTTTATAATGATTTTATTTTTTGTATAGAAATAAAAATGAAAACGTTTTTAATCTCAGACATAAATAATTTTTAAAGATTCTTTTGATAGTTAAGAAATTATTTTCAATATAAAAAAACTCATTAATGTCTCTCTCTCTACTCAAGAGAAGAAAAAATAAAAACAAAAAATAAAAAACGACTAAAAGTCGTTTTTCATTTCTCTCTCATTTTACACTAAACCAAAAAATCATTTTCATTTCCCTTTTTTATCTTTAATTATGTCAAACGCTGTTTTGAAATTGTTTTTCATTTTTTTTCTCGAAAAACGTGAAAAATAAAAACAAGAACTATTCTAAACACGGCAGACATGTTTTGACATTTTTTTGGCTTCTTATCTAAAACTTTTTTGTTGTTGCACTTTTTCCTTTTTGAAATTTTATATTCATATTTTATATGCTTTTAATAATTTAATAATGACACGGTAATTAAAACTTAACACACGAATTACTCCCAAGTGCATCATACGTGGAGTTCAACTAGTCTACATTAAGAAACATATTCTATTAAAAAAGAAAAAAAAAACTAAGGGCTCATTTAGTTCGCTGATTCGAGTTAAGATGTGACTTTATATTAGAGCTTTTTACTGTAACAAAAAAGTTATATGTACTGTTTATGGGAACTTTTTTACTGTAGCAAAACTCAAATTCTAACCTCGAATCGGTGAAATGATTGGAACCTATAACATTATACATATTTACTTATCATTTTTTTTTCTCTCTCTATTGTTTCTAATCAACTAATATTTTGAGAATTGGTGCATAACTAATATTTTTAGAGAGGTAGGCATTCAATAAACCCAAAATATCATAGCTAATTAGCAATTTAGTGGTTATATCAACATTTCTGTTTAAAAAATTGATATAATCAAGATGGATGAGAAAAAGTTAGAGATAGATCATAGTTCGGGGGCACAATGGGTGCATTTTAAAGTTCATGGAGCATATTGACGTAAGTGACAAAATTCAAAAGGCATTTATAAGCATTTCCCTTAAAAAACTTGACGGAATTAGATTCAAAAGGCATGTTGACACAAATAACAAAGTTTAAAAAACACAACATGCATATTTTAAAATTTGAATAATATATTAACACAAACGACAAAGTTCAGAGGAAATTATAAGATTTGTCTACTAAATTTTGAATAACTTACTTAAAGTGATATATTTATGTATTTTCAAGATAATATAGTCTTATCATCGATTCGTCATCCAATATAAAAATCAAAATAATCAAGTATAACTAATAATATAGTAATTTAAATTCATACAATGCAATTTCTGTGTTCAATTAAAAAACAAAAAAACAGAAAAAGATAAATACTGAAAAACAAGCCGACATCATTGACATCATTTGCAAATTGTAATGACTAGCAAAGCAAACACGCCTTTACCAATTAATTGCATATCATAGATATATAGTTAATTACATATTATATATGATAAATACATTGGACTGAATTAGATTTATTGAATTTTTAAAATTTAAATCCAACATCCAATGCAATCCAATTGGATTTGTGAAAATGCCATCCAAATTCGAGTTAATAGTGTTTGAACATCTAATTTTTTTAGATGAATTGATTGGATTGGGTGGATCAATTGAATAATTGAATGGTTTACCCACACGACATCAATATTTAGAATCCAAAGAAAGAAATGGTGTATAAGTCAAAAATGTATTTCTTTAATCGAATCTTCCTACATTATGCTCTTGCTTCGTGCTAGAATATTCGTAACGCCATACGTAACCCAAAAACAATAATATATAAATAAATAATATATTAAAAAATAAATAATTCAGAAAATAATAAATAGTATTTTTTGAAACTTTTTTAAAGTAAATAACATGTTTTAAAATATTTGAAGTAATATTTACTATATAAATATACTAAATAAATTATTTACTTCACTCTTCTTTAAATAATGAGAAAATGACATCTGTATGACAAGCAAATCCAAGTGTAGTAGAATCTGATCTGGCCCATTAGTCTGCCACTTTATCCAGCCGACAAATATAGCAAAATTTTGATATCAAAATTTAAATTTAACAAATATTTTAAAATATTACAAGAATAGTACAACTTTATATTATTTTATGTCATTAAAATAATAACTATAACATTATATAGCACAAAATATGATATTATTATAATAATTACTATGGTCATTTTTATTATATTTATAATATTTTAAAATTTTGCTAAATTTCAACTCAACCTATGAAATTTTGCTATGTAGTGTAATGACTCCTATAAATAAACTCGGACACCTGACCCATATGCATTATTGGTAAGGGGCATGCAAAAGAAAGTACTCTTTTAACACAAAAGGCATCGAATTCTGCTGATGTGATCTCATTATGAAAATTTTGTTAGGAGAATTTAAATCCTCTAGCCTGAAATACTCATGATTCAAATCCTCTAATGAGAAGGAAATTGATCAAACAATTGTGTGTACCAGAATCAAAGTATTTCAACTGAAATAAATAAAAAATAAAAAATAAAAAATAAAAAGTGATCCTGTAAGGACTGCACACGCATATATTGTAAAACCAGAATCAACAATTATTGTCGATTCAAGAAAAGCATCAAGGAAAGGGTCTCACTTCCCATTTGCAAACTATATCGCAATTCCCACACGGATAAACCCATCAACAAAAAATTCAAAGAAGTAAAGAACTCGTCATCAAAAGCTAATTACAGTTGATCATGCAAGCTAGGTTGAACAAACACCTCACTCTCAGAAAGCTGCCCTACATAGTACATTCTGATGCTCACCTCAACAAGTCAAAAAGTTATTGGATCATGCTGGGAAACAATCCGCGATGGTTGTGGCACGTGCTGCGACATAAGCTTTGCAGTGTCTTTCCACCAAGAAACCTCCCATTCTTTCTCGCGAAGTTTTTGCTTTGCACACTCTAAAGCCTCCTCAAGCTCGTGTATCCTTTCTTGTTGTCTTGCTTCCAGAAGTTCATGCAACCTTCTCTCCAATTCAATAGGAGGAACTTCACTGTGCCCTTCAAATAAAATATGCGCCGTCTCTTGTGGGTCAATTACCTCTCCAAAAGTAGAACTCGAGCTGTGGCTTACCGAAGAAGCAGTGTCCATAATGCCCTGCTACTCAACATTTAGATTTAGGAGAAGATCCAATTAGGAACAAGGAATACAAGGTAATAAAACACAAACACAGTTGAAACTATAATAAAAACTGCGCCTTAAAGTTTCAAAAATTTGTAAATTTGCATGCTGAAGTCAGAACTGTCTATGCTCTAAAAGCCAGGAAACAAATAATTATTGAGAGCATTATATTTTCAAGATGACAATGGCACAAGAAAAACGCTAGTTAGGTTCTTAAAGGGAACTTTGGCATCCACAAATACGTGTTCAGGGAACCTAAACACGGAGTAAATTACTATCAGCTCAGCAAAAACTAACATGTTAAGATCTAGAATGACTCCTTTCCGAATCCCATATGTAGAAAATCATGAAAACATGCAATGCACTTCTCTTTACCTTCAGCCCTTGCTGCTGTGGGAGAACTAAAGGATGTTCTGTATCCACATGGAGCTCCAAAAGTTCCAACTCGGCTTCGAGTTCTGCCTCAAGCTCATCCATTCCTGTTAAATGCTGTTCCCGTTCATGCACAACCCGTCGGAAAGAATCGTCGCATTCCAAGGTGGTTTCGGATTCCGGCACTACATATGATGTGGTCCGTGCAGAATTCATTTGAAGTGAAATCTGCGTACTAGAGTTGGAACTCTCTCGGATATGGTTGGTGGAATAAGCAACACTGTCATCGATTTCAATTGGCTTCAAACCTGAATTCCTGTTTTGCAATTCCTCTCTAAAGTTTCGAAGAAGTATCTCCATTTGCTTCCTCACTTCCACCATCTTAGTTATTTCAGTTTTACTGGCACCAATTAGATACAATAAAGCACAAGCAACGCCCATATTAAAAGAGGCGTCATTCCTACAGCGTCCTGGACAAATTAGAAACATCAACAATTAAACCAACAACATCCCAATTTCCCAAACACATCTTCTTCAACTTCGAATCATAAAATTCAATCACTGGAACGACCTTGTTTGGCATCACTTTCATTTTTGGTAGTTTGCGTTTAAAGGGAAAATAAATTGTGGGGATTCTCTCGCAACATCTTCTCAAAATCCTCGCTTTTCATTCATTTATGATTGTGTATGTAAAAAATGAAAATATCAACCAAACAATCAAAAAAAAAAAAAAAAAACATAATTTAACCATGATATCAATAAGGAGAACAGAGCTCAAGAACATCACCTGAATCCTCACTCTCAGAACCAGAAACCGGCGAATCGCGACTGTTCAGGGCATTCATCAAACGAGTCGTGTGCCCCGAAACCTCGCCGAGTTCTTCCCTCTTCTCTCTCCGAAGAGCCGAAATTCTCCTCTCCCTGGCTGGCCTCAGCGCCGCAAAGCACCGTGCAATGATCCGCCGCGGCGAGGAGCAGTGGAAGCTCGGGGACCGCTCCCTGCGGCGGCGCTCTCCGACGCCGCTCATGCCGTCGTCGTCGTCTCCTAGGGTTCCGTAACCGGCGTGGTCCTCCTCGTCGTCGGTGAGAATGTCGGCGATCCGAAGACGGCGGTTCTCGGGGGAAGAAGAAGGGGCGAGAATGGGGGTTTTGAAGAAGAGGTTGTGGCGATTCATAGGGACTGGGAAATTAAATGCGATGAAGAAAGTGACAGTCTTGATTGAAAGGAGACAGAGAAATAAGAGAGAAAAGGTTTAATTGCGGATGAGAAAAATGGAGGGAAAGTTTGAATGAAGTTGTGGACTCTGTGCGCTTTCCGATGAGTTATGAATTCTCTCCTTTTTCCCTTTCTTTTTCTCGCTCAGTAGTGATCTATAATTGATTGCTTGTATTTATGATCGTCATGCCAATTGCCACACACTTTTTCTTTGAGGGAAGGAACTACACACTTAAAAAAAAAAAAAAATTCATAAAAGAGACAAATATTCACAATTCATTGATTTAACTATCTTATTGTTAAATTTAATTTAATTATAATAACATAATACGAATTAAAAAATGTGTAATAATCATAAAAAATAATTAATTATTTTAGTTTCTCACTTTTTAATATCGGTACTACATTAAATAAATTAAATAAATGTTACGTTATCTTTCAATTTTTACGTGGTGGAACAGTATACAAACTCAATATTATTTCATTGTTTTTTATGTGCAGAACAGGAGATTCCAAGGGAAAAAAAAGTGGGAGCGGGAGGTGGATGAATACGATAAATACGAATAATTTTGATTTAAGTTGTTCAAAATCTTTATATAATAATAAAATTGAAGGGGAAAAAAATATTTGGGATGAGAGTAATACGTGGTGACGTGTGATTTGTCAGAAATTAGTGATCAATAATAAATAATTTTCAGAGGGTAGACAAGTGGATTTTTGTCGGTGGATGGTTTTCTGCGTTTTGTTGTATTGTGTAGTGTATTCTGTCTTGGTTGAATGAAAGTGGCTCGCGAAAATGATTTAATTAAAGGATACGTATGTGTTTCAAAGTATTGTGAATAAGACTAATTTCAAATATATATGTATAGTGTATATATTGCGAATGGACTTGTCAACAATATATGTACACAATCACTAACACATATATAATATAGCATCGATTCGTGGATATATACACACACACGCACGTACATATCAACGAATAAGTAAGGGGTCACTTTGCAATATTATAACACGGTTTTAGATTATGACAAGCCTGCATTCCGCGCATTGCGCAGAATCTAATATTATATTATATGATAGCTGTATTTAAAATAATTTATATACATACATGTATTATACAGCATTGTATTATATGATAGATATAAAATTTATATAAACATATTTATACAGACATATATAATATTATTATTCATAATATATATTTATAGATTGTACAAAATAAAATACAACGTTATTGTGATTCTTGAGCATTTCATTTCTTTCAGCTGTAAATATGAAAATGAGAAAATTAGTTGTAAATATAAGTGTTAAAAAAATAAAGATGTTTAAATTATATAATATGAAATAAATATTATAAAAATGTTGTTGCAGAAACAAAGAAATAAAAACACATATCTAGAAGGTAAGATCGTAGAAACCAACAAATGAAAAAGAAAAAAAAAACTCAATATGAGTGAGAAAAAAAAAGAGATCTAGAATGTTGCAGAAGAAAACACACTAAAGAGATAAATGATGCTGCAAAAAGAAGTAAAGAAAAACAATTCAAAAAGCAACAAACAGAAAAAGGGAAAATAAAACATTCATTCTAAGTATAAATGATCAAAACGGTCAGAACAAATAAAAACAAAAAAAGCTGAACTAAATGACAATATTAATAACTTTATATTTAAAAGGGCATAACGGGAATAAAAAATCAACAGAAGACTATTTTTTAGTTTGCGTTATTCTATTAAGTAAACAGGACATAATAATAATAATAATAATAATAATAATAATAATAATAATAATAACAAACAAAAACAAAAAAAGCTGAACTAAAGGACAATATTAATAACTTTACATTCAAAAGGACATAATGGGAATAAAAAATCAACAGAAGACTATTTTTTAGTCTGCGTTATTCTATTGAGTAAACTTGACATAATAATAATAATAATAATTAAAAAAAATTATCTCTTCCCAAGGGATTGAGTGGACTATGACCAAAATCTGCAGGATTGTTTTACTTTACAAATATTGAAGCAATTAATTAATATTATTAATTAATACAGAAGCAGAACAAAACAAAACAAAGGAAATAAAGGAAAGAGAGAGATAAATGACTGTAGAAAGAAGGGAACAAAAACAATTTAAAAAGCAACAAACGAAAAAGTCAAAATAAAACACTGTGTAAATGACCAAAACGGTCACAGCAAATAGAAACAAAAAATTATGAACTAAAGGGTAATATAGTAAATTTACGCTCAGCAGGACATAACAGGAATTAAAATTTCATCAGAAGAAAAAAGTAAGGCTAAAACGGGAAATACATTGTTCATTGCACTGTAACATCAACAGTAAATTCCGTCATCTCCTTTAGTATATGTATAATGTATCCTAAATACTTGTTGTCGTTTGGTGGGACAATAAAATTCTTGAATTAAAGAAGCACTAATAAAACCAAATAATAGAAGTTAAAAGAAAATGTTTTGTCCATTTTTTTTAAGATAAGATTTTCTATTTATTTTTTTTAAATATGTATATTATTTGCGCATTAAAGAGCCTACATTGACCTAAATTATTTTTCAAAAAGAGTAGTGCTAGCCCACCAACTCTAATTCTATTTTTTTTTTCAATTTTAAATTGTCATTTTTTTATTAAAAAATACTGTTTGTTCTTATCAGTTGATGTGATCATATTTTAAATAACAACTCATAAAAATGACTAAAAAATAGTTATTTTTTTGAATAAATAAAATATATTGTCATTGTAGGTTGTGAAGAAACGATCGAGTAAAAAAATTGTCGTTGAAGGTTACAGACGACATCATGTATGTACACTTTTTATTTTTTAATATGGACGTGGATATTTTGTCATAAAATTAAAGAACATTTTGTTTGGGATAAGATAAACGACAGCAATTAAAACATCATTGGTTAGAGTAACAGAAAAACAAGATGTCATTCAATTTTCGCGTCATTTATTACCAGTACGAGTTTTTTTTTTTTTTTTTTTTTTTTTTTTTTTTTTTTTTAAAAATACGAGTTTGAACTTATAAAGAAAGGTAATATTTTTGTTTAACAAACGACATGTGTTTGCAATAAAGGTTAACGGCATTGATTAAAACTTATTGTCGTTTTAGAGATCCACAGAAACAATTCCTGCAGTTTGTTAAATATAAAACGACATCTCTCTTCTTTGTAATATGTTAAAAAAAAAAAAATTGAATTCAAACAATATGTGGACAGTCGTACATTTAATCCAAAGGAAAACAAAACATTTGAAACTTTGAACTTGAGCCTTTAAAAAAATTTTAAAAATAAAAAATAATAAACAACTTTTGAATGAGAAACGACACATCGTTTAAAATGAAGTTTAAAATGAAGAGTTAGTCGTCGAAGAAAGCATGTGTAATTCTTGACACCCACCCATAGCACGTTATCATGTTTTCATTTTTCGGCCTATGGATGGGAATCTTACCCGTAGGACGGGAATGAGGAATATTACTTTTATTTTATATTTATAATATTATATATACAGGAGTGAGGGAAGTTCTTTCGTCTCCGCTGCTGCCTCCGACCCAATTATATATACTTTTATTTTATATTTATAATATTATATATACAGGAGTGAGGGAAGTTCTTTCGTCTCCGCTGCTGCCTCCGACCCAATTATATATACTTTTATTTTATATTTATAATATTATATATACAGGAGTGAGGGAAGTTCTTTCGTCTCCGCTGCTGCCTCCGACCCAATTATATATACTTTTATTTTATATTTATAATATTATATATACATAAATTATGGATTGTTGGAGTTTAAATTTTATTTCCGGTTTAGTTTCATGAGATATTGATGAATATGTTGTTAAATTTTATAATTAATTTAATAAAATTTGCTTTGATTTTTATAATGTCATGAGAATTTTTTAATTTTTTTTAATGAGTAAATAAGTATGGTATGAGGATAGTTTTTTCAGTATAAATTTTTCGACTTTGACGCTATCTAAAATTAGATAGGTATGAAGTTGAGTATGGGTGACAGGCTCGTTCATTTTACGGGTTTAAATTTTTAATTTAAGTTGAGATGTGATATTTTTTAAAAATTTTTTACTGTTATAAAAAAAATTAATGTGATATTTTTTATTGTAAAAATTTAAAATTAAAAACTTAAATCAGTAAAATAAATGAGGAGTAGGATATGGGAGCATACCCGCCCCTACTCCACCCATTCCTGTCCCTATTTCTGGCACTTGGTGTTGCTTGCTACACGTCGAAAGTCGAAACCAACATTTTCTCTTTCTTTTTTGGGGGTAAAAAGCGTAATAACTCTTTTCTTGGGGTATAAAACATAGCCTTCTTCTTGCATTAATAAATGACAACAATAAATAAATTATATTACATAACGTTAGCAAATAATTATACAAATTGTAGAAACATTAAATACACTGACTAATGGAAAACCGTAATAATTATACTTGTGAATACCGACTGATAAAGGTAATCAATATGAAAAACGTAAAAATGCATGCTGAACTATTAATAAAAATCCCGTAATTTATAGTATTTAAGACCAAGAAAAATCTTGTTGCAACTTACAATGAAACTTAGAGCAATCTAAATAATGAAAATTTTACAGTTTACACTGTTGTTATCCAAATTTTCCTCCATATGTCAATTCTTCAAAACGTTTCATTAAAAAAAAAAAAAAAAACTTAAAAAAAAAAGTCCCAACAAACAAACTCTTCATTTGCACATAGCCACAAGTACCATAATCATTAGCTGGGCGCCATCAGATTCCCAGTATCCTAACTTTTCAATAAAGTCTCGCTTTCACCAAATTGCTTGGATCTGATATGAATACACATGTAACCAAATTGCTTGGATCTGATATGAATACACATGTATATCTTATTAAGTTAAAAGAGCTGATTACAATTTTTAATTTGAAATGTAATTTTATGTGAAAATTTTTAATTATAGTAAAAAAATTAAATGTTATTTTTTATAAGAATTTTTAATTAAAATAAAATTAAAATTAAAAACTCAAATTAATGAAATAAACGGAACCTTAAAGTCTTTCCTGATATTGAACACCAAATTAAGGGGAAAAAAAAAAGAAAAAAAAAGAGAATACTTTTTTGGATTGAAAGTAGAAAATGAGAGTGACAAATGCTTTGTTAATTGGGAATCTTTGCAGTTGAAAAGGTTATTTTACTACATCAATCATTTTTTAACTGTCAAGTTATTTTTTAATGTTTAGAATTGTACATATCTATATTAAAAATTTACAACACGCAATATAAAACTACTGCTTCGATTAAGAATCAGATCATTAAAAAACTACTTAAATGACTGAAATACAATTCACATTAGTGGAGTAAAATAGTATTATTCACTATAATTACATAACATGTTAATTATGTAAAAAAAAAGGCAGTTTGCAATCATTGTCACTTTATAACAATTGTTGATGCATAAATCACAAGCCTTTTCAATGTCAATGAAAGTGCCTAATAGCGGTTTTCATCATCACGTCACTTTAATTAGGACACATTAATCTGCATATTTATACCCTAATTACAAAGGGCAATCAGTCGAAAAGGCACCTTCTCCCTTTATCGATCTCGCTAGTTTGAAGCAAAAGATCAGGCCACGAAAAGCCATATTCAGTTTTATTCTATTTTATTTTATTTTTTATGCACCTCAAAAAACTCAGCCGATAAATACAAAGATTTGGTGGACCAACAAAATGGTTTTTGTTTTCTATTTGTATTTTGTTAGGATCTTTCTTGGCAAAAGCCCATGTTTGTGCCATGTTATGTGCAATACAACTATGCAAGCTTGACGATTGCTTAATGACAATTGACCCTTTTAAAATATTTTATTTATTCATTTATATATATTTTTTTTCTGAATTTTTGATTGGTTGACTTCAAATGAAACGGTAGTGGCCTACCACATATTTATAACATTAACAAATTTGTCACGCATGTACCTAATTTAATGTTACTCACTATCTAGTGGGGGGATAACAACGAAATCCTGGACCCCTGAATTATGAATATTAAAAACCACCTTTTAAATTTAAGTGTTTGATCTCATTCTTGACTTTTATTTGGATTTTTTTTTCCTTTTACTAAATATTTTCTTGCCTCATTTTGATTGCAAATCATTTTAGCCACTTAAATTCCCAAGTCTTCTTACTCTTTCTTTCTGTGCCGGTGATTTTTTTTTTTTTTTTTTTTTGGGGTTAAATCACGAACTCTAAACCGCAATGTTAGAGACAAAATATGATATAACTAAATCTACACCCACTCATGCTAGTGAATTAAAAGAACATAATAATTTAGTGTTTTTTTTATGTGTGTAATATCGTTCGAGAAATTATTACTAAACCACTTATCCAAAAGTAAAAAAGAGAATAAAGAGGGAAATCCACCAAAAACCAAGACACGTAAAATGCGAAAAAAGGTCAGCAAAATAATCGTTGATCTAATTTCTTTTGAATTTACAGTAATATCCCTTCACCATATTTGCATCAAGATTAACGTCCATTTTAAGGCCTTTGTCAGTGAATCTAAAATAATTCTCTTTGGCAGAGGGGAAAAAAAAGGGTATTTTATCCATTGCCCCCGAACTTATAGGGATTTAACAATTTATCTCATAAAATTTAAATTCTAAAAATTTATCCATTCAACTTGTAAAATAGTTACAATTAATTTGAATAATTTGCCTAAATAATCTCCAATTTTTTTAAAAGATAATAGTTTGATCTCTAATTTTTATTTGACAAAACGATGCCCAACCTATTTAAAAAAATAAAATTTCATCATTTCTGTCAATTGTCGATAACGAGAGAAGACACCTGACCGTCCATCTTTTTCACTAAAATCACTGAAATGCCCATAAAGAAAACACAATATTGAATCTTGTTCGTCTCTAAATCTCTTTTTCTCTCTAAACCCATTAATTTGAATAAAAAGAAAAAGAAAACCCTATTTTCGTCACCATTTCCAGACTCTATAAACAGACTTACAGACACAAATCCAATTTGGAAAGAACTCTGTAACACATCCCATTTACTTTTCCCCCTCTTCCCCCTTAAGTGTAGGCCTCTTGCCAGTTTTGGGCCTTTTCTCGTGTATTTGGCACTGGCAACTTTTATTATTGTTCACAGCCTTATGTATGGAGCCGAGGATCCTTCTATTGCCGGAATGGTTCTTGACAATCCCTTTTCTGATTTGGTTGACGTGATGATGGAGCTGATAGATACGTATAGAGTTCGCTTACCAAAGTTCACAGTAAGGGTGTTTCAGTTAAAACATCTTGTTTTGCAGACTCTGTGAGAAGTTTCTTGTTAAAGCAAAAGAGCCATGTTCTAAACCAGCCATGATTGTTTTCATTCATCATCGTGTATTCATCATTCAAAAAGTAAAAAGTTCCTTACTCTTCTAGGGTTTTTTATTTTCATCTTCTTCCCCCAATTCCTCTTCTGAAAAATGGGTTCTGCGCTGAATTTCCAAATTTAGTTCCACAATGTCGAATTTCAGAAGTGCTAGTCTTGCTAAATCATCCTCTGTTTCTATTAGGCATTTTCTCAAACACCAGTGGCCCCAAAATAAAGAAAAAATTTCACAAACCCTAACTTGTTACGTATAAATCAGCCCCTATTCTCCCGAGATGTGTTTTTACATCGTGGATTTTTACATGTACTGTACCGTTATTTTTTGGATGACAATTTGGATGATAATTGACAAAAATAATGAGATTGTATTTTTTAACCGTTATTTTTTAGATGACAATTTGGATGACAATTGACAAAAATAATGAGATTGTATTTTTTAAATAGATTAGGGTCATTTTGTAAAAAAAATATTAAGAATTAAACAGTCATTTTTAAAAAAAATTGGAAATTATTTGTGTAAATTACCCATTTAATTTTATGATCAATTTTTACTCTCTTTTTTGGGGTCAAATTTACAAGATTAAGAGTTCGACAATTAATAGATTTGTGTTATAAATTAAATTTGAGTGTTAAAATTTTTAATCCAACATATTTTTTTCATCACCAATTTAACAAAATTATCATCAAATTCAAGTCACTGCCAAATCACTATAAATTTAGGGGTAAATATGCAAATAACCCAAAAATATATTGTTATTAACTGTTTGGTATTTAAATTCATTTTCTCATAATTAATTATAATATTTTTTCTCATAAAAAATACACATAAATTAAAAATAATTTTAAGAACATGATTTGAATTCATGAATCAAACGTCACGTAAATATCTAAAGCGACGGTCAAAGGACAAAATAATCAGTAACACGTGCCACAACCTTGTTTAGTACAGATGTGATAAAATATTGCACTAGCAAAGAGTAAAGATTCAGAAACCAAATAAAATAAATTAAAATGAAGGAAAAAAGAAAAAGGAAAATGAAAGTATCAAATCAGAGTAACATCGTTATCGTCATCATCGCCACCAAAATCTATAATCTCATATCATAAGACTCAAAGACAAAGGAGCACACACAGAACAAAGACAGACACAGACAGAGACAGGGACAAACCTTAAGAACCTCGGATTCTCCCATATTTTCTTCCCACAACAACCTCCATATCTGATTTTACTTATCTAAATAGGAATATTCCATTTCTCTCTCATCACTTTCTCTCTCTAAAACCCAAACACAGGCACGCGCGCAGGGATACACACCCACTGGAGCTCAACGTCCTCTTGATTGGAAGCTAAGTTTCTCTTTCTATCTGATACACTCAGAGTGTGAACGTGAAGGCAACAGCAAACAATACCCAGAAAGAGATTAAGCCAAAAAAAGGAAAAAAAAAAGAGAGAACTTTCCTTAAAGACCCAGCAAAATCCATTCCTCTGGTTCCTGAAATCGCACACTGTTTTCGTACCATCATCATTTGATGACCCTTTTTCCCGTTTATTTAATCTGGGAATTTCTCGTCTTGTGATGGTAGTTTTTATCGGATCTTGAATAGGCAATGGCGTTGTTCAGGAAGTTCTTTTATCGGAAGCCGCCAGATGGGCTTCTTGAGATCTCTGAAAGGGTTTACGGTACGTGTTTTATTTGGTCTAAATTCTATGCAAATTTTTGTTTGTCTAGGCTCAAAGAATAAACGGGTTTCTTTTTTTTTTTTTTTATCCAATTTTATCTCAACCACTTTGATTTCCATGTTTGGAATTTGACGCTTTTGGTGCCAATTGCATTCCAATGTTATTTAAGATTTTGCTTTAATTATTTTGTGCATTTTTACTATTTGAGTCTAAATATGTCTAGAACTTGCGTTTTAATTTGGATTATCGATAGAGCTTGCTTCATGTATTGAAATCTTATATTATGACACGGTTTAACTTGTCTTTTGGGTACATTCAGTTTTTGATTGCTGCTTTACTACTGATGTTTGGGAAGAGGATGAATATAAAGTGCGTATAGGAGGGATGGTGAGTCAACTTCGTGATCACTCTCCTGATGCTTCATTCATGGTCTTCAACTTCCGAGAGGGAGAGAAGCAAAGCCAAATTTGTAGTATTTTGTCCGAGTACGATATGACGGTAATGGACTATCCTCGGCACTACGAAGGTTGCCCCTTGCTCACAATGGAGATGCTTCACCATTTCTTGAGATCTAGCGAAAGTTGGCTCTCACTTGGCCAACAAAATGTGCTCCTGATGCATTGCGAGCGAGGTGGGTGGCCGGTTTTGGCCTTCATGCTGGCTGCCCTTTTGATTTATAGGAAGCAGTTTACTGGGGAGCAAAAGACGTTGGACATGATCTATAAGCAAGCGCCTCGAGAACTTTTGCAGTTGATGTCGCCGTTGAACCCAGTGCCTTCTCAGTTGAGGTATCTTCAGTATGTCTCGAGAAGAAATGTTGGCTCAGAGTGGCCTCCCCTCGATAGGGCTCTTACATTGGTCTGTATCATTATGAGATTAATTCCTAATATGGATGGAGAAGGAGGTTGTCGACCTATATTTAGGATATATGGACAAGATCCTTTTATGGCTGCTGATCGGACTCCAAAAGTTTTATTTTCAACTCCAAAGAGGATCAAACTTGTTAGGCACTACAAGCAGGTAGTTAAAAACGTTTTGCTCTTATCTGTGTGGAAAAGATCCTTGCTTGGATGTTGATTTTGTTTTGTTTGTTTTTTTTTTTTTCATATGTTTTTGCAGGCAGATTGTGATCTACTGAAAATTGATATTCATTGCCATATCCAAGGTGATGTTGTTCTCGAGTGTATCACTTTGGACAGTGATCTGGAACGTGAAGAGATGATGTTTCGGGTCATGTTCAACACAGCCTTCATACGATCAAACATTTTGATTCTCAACCGTGATGAAATCGACATCTTATGGAATGCTAATGACCAATTTCCGAAGGATTTTAGAGCAGAGGTTTTCATCTAATCTTGCCCTGTCCTTATTTTTGTTTAGAACAATGACACATTCAACGTTTGGAGACAAATAGTATTAATGTTTTCTGCATGTATGAAGGTTCTTTTCTCGGAGATGGATGCCAGTACTTCTTCAATTTCAATTGACTTGCCTGGCATTGAGGAGAAAGAAGGTCTTCCTATGGAAGCATTTGCTAAAGTTCAGGAGATGTTTAGTGATGTGGATTGGCTAGATCCAAAGGCAGATGCAGCACTAAATCTGCTACAGCAGGGAAAATCGGACAGCCCATCTGCTCGAATCGCTGAAATGCGCCGCTTGTTTCGAGAATCATCTCCAGAACAATTTAAAGTAGAACCCAAGGCATCCGAAAGTAACGTCAGTAAGAAGATGCAAAGCCAGGAGCTACAAGATACAAATTCAGTTGTGAAGAAGAATGAAACCCTGTTAGTGCAGGACAATAAATTAACAACCAAAAATAAGACAGAACCCCAAGAATTGCAGATCGCTCTGCAACGTCCTGCCCAATCTAAGATTATCTCTCAAAGAGTACCTAAAACTCCTTTATCAGCTCCAGTTTCATATTCTAATTCCTTGCAAGGGTCTCCTGTATCGAGATTTCATAGCGCGCCCTCTGCTCTCGGCATTACAGCTCTATTACATGATCACGCGGCGTCTAATAGGGAAGAAGAACTTACACAGCCAGTGACTTTAGCATCTAATTTGACTCTACCGAACCTTGTAAAGCCTGATAACTCATTTGTACCAACACCTTCACCATGGTCACAATTATCTTCTTCTGAAAAGACCAATGAAAGTCCTAGCCAACTATCATCACCATCACTACCAACTACAAAAGCTACAATTCATCCTGAAACCACATCACAAGATAAACGTCAGTCAGAATCAATTCCTCGTCCCTCACATCTTCCTGCTATCAAGACCTCGTTTATAATATCACCACCTCCTCCTCTTAAACCTCTTTCCATAGTCAAGAACATAATTTCAACTTCTCCTCCTCCACCCCCAGTTCCACCTCTGCTCTCATCTTCTAAAGAATCCCGATCTTTTGTTGAGAACTCCACTCCCACTTCGACTCCTCCCCCTCCTCCTCCTCCACCCCCTACTTTAGCAGAAACATCTCCGGCATATATTGCCGAAAAGTCATTTTCAGCTCCCCCTCCGCCTCCACCACCTCCTCTTTCAAGAACACCTTCATCAGTCACTACTAAGACTTCTCTTTCAACTCCCCCTCCCCCACCTCCGCCCCTGGCTTCAGTTTCTTGTCCTGATTCTTCTTTGCAGCCTATGAAGAGCTCAACAATCACACGTGGCCCGTCTCCCCCACCTCCACCTCCTAAACCTCTAGGTCCTGCCTTGAGCTCCACGACAACATCTCCAGCACCACCACCTCCTCCTCCAACTTGCATATCAAGCAAAAAGCCTGCAAATGCTCCACCTGTGCCACCTCCTCCAGCTCCGCCCATCCATGGAGCGTCGAAAGCTAGTCTTACTTCTCAACAATCCTGCTCTGCAGTTAGCAATGGTAATGTGCCTTCAATTCCTGGACCACCCTCTGGTGTCTTATTAAGTAGTAAAGGACGAGGACTATCACGCATGACTCCAAGAAATCAAGCTCAACCTAAAAAATCTAATTTGAAGCCATATCATTGGTTAAAACTAACGAGGGCCATGCAAGGAAGCCTATGGGCCGAGGCACAGAAAAACGATGAAGCTTCCAAGTAAGCCTTCTTTGAAGAAGAAATATTTTTAGTTCATATAATTCGAGGCATCTTTATTGTTCTTACTATGTTTTGTTTATATCAGTGCTCCAGAGTTTGATATGTCAGAACTTGAGAGTCTTTTCTCTGCGGCTGTGCCAAGTTCAGATCATGGAAGCCCAGGTGGAAAGTCAAATCGCCGGGCATCAGGACCAAAAGCTGAAAAAGTTCAGCTGGTATTTTTGATCCTTGCTTTTACTTAACGTTTGTTGTTTGTAAAGAATTTTTTTGATCCTGTGACTTCTGTGTGATAGGCCTAATTTTACTGTTAGTTTTGTTTCAATGTCCTTAAAAAGTAAGAAAAAAATATCGGTAAATTTACATCCTGCCATAGTGCTCCCCTCTTTAAATGAATACCGTCTTGCTTACGACCTTGTATTTTTTTTCCTCTCTCTCCAGATTGAGCTAAGGCGGGCATATAATTGTGAAATCATGCTTACAAAAGTTAAAGTCCCTCTTCCTGATTTGATGGTATGCTAAATCTATTGCATTTCCTGCAAGATGCATCTTTTCAGTTTGAGTTGAACTATTCCGGCCCTTTAACGGTTTTCGTGATTGCTTATCCTACCATGATTTGCCTCTCTTAGAGTTCTGTACTTACTTTGGATGAGTCAGCATTAGATGTTGATCAAGTAGAGAATCTTATAAAGTTCTGCCCAACAAAAGAAGAGATGGACTTGCTTAAGGTACCACTCTTTTCTTCAGTTTGTCTTTAGTTCGCTTCCATATTATAATGATATTATTATTTCATGTTCACGAGAGCTTCATAATAAAATCGGTATTATCTACATTTTACCCTTATTGTTTTGTGATCAGGGTTATAGCAGGGATAAGGAAAACTTGGGAAAATGTGAACAGGTGAGTGGATTTATCCTTTTTTCCCGCGTTAGTTTCATTTATTTTTCTGGACCACTGTTTCTCTGTACCTTGCATTTTAATTAGTTTCCTTGTGAAATTCTATGACAGTTCTTTTTAGAATTGATGAAAGTGCCACGAGTAGAGTCCAAGCTAAGAGTTTTCTCATTTAAGATACAATTTCATTCCCAGGTTAGAGGACAATTTTTTAATTAATTTCTTGGCTGGTACTTTCAATTATCATAATTCTTATCATTACATGTTTAGTCATCGTCTTGTCTTCTCTTTCAGGTTTCTGACCTTAGAAACAGTTTAAATCTTGTCAATTCCGTATCTGAAGAGGCAAGAATCTTATTCGTTTCTTTGTTTTGCTTTTTTTCTCGCTTTTTGTTTTGCATTTTTTTAATAGATTTATATGCCACGCCACTTTTCTTGATGTGCTTATCAGATCAGAAGCTCAGTTAAGTTGAAAAGGATCATGCAAACCATACTGTCTCTTGGGAATGCCCTAAACCACGGAACTGCAAGAGGTAGTTGAATATCGGTTTCCATTTTATGTTTGCGCAACTTCAACAACTCAAGCAAAGGACTGCGTGCTGTACTGTTGGTTGATTTAGTGTAAAATGAAGTCAATATAGCCAAGGTCTACTTTTGTGCAGGAGTTTAAGATGAAGTTAAAACTAAATAAAGTCATCATTAGATGGCCTAGCAGAGTCGAAATAATTTGCCATATTTCACGGGTCGTAATCTGCATTAGACAGGGCCTTACGGGCTATATATTGCTGGTCAAAGTCGACACTTCAGCTCCCATTTCTTGTATTACCTTTCCCCTCCCTTTCTTCACTGTTGGCTTATAATAGTATTCCTGTAGGTTCTGCAATTGGGTTTCGACTTGATAGTCTACCGAAGCTCACAGACACACGAGCTCGGAACAACAAGATGACTCTCATGCATTATCTTTGTAAGGTAGAGTTCTTCTTTTGAGCTTATATTGGGATCAACTAACACCTCCTATTAGTTTATTCTAACATATATACATATATTATTTTTTGTTGAGAGGTACAAGAAAAACTGTTCAAGTATCTCTTCTCCAGAATTCATCTGTACTTCTGGTGATTATTTTCTCTTACAAGCTGTAGGTTCTTGCCGAAAAGTTGCCGGATCTCCTTGATTTTCCAAAAGAACTTGCGAGTTTGGAGGCTTCAACAAAGGTATCCTGTTATTTTCTTTATATTTTTTTTTTCCCTGGAAACAACTGACTGCTTACACGTTTGGTATTTCTGGGTACACTCGTGAATTGTGATGCAGGTACAACTAAAATATTTGGCTGAAGAAATGCAAGCCATTAGTAAAGGATTAGAGAAGGTTGTTCAGGAGCTAACTGCTTCAGAAAATGACGGTCGTGTTTCAGGAATTTTTTGCAAGGTACTCTATGTACAGCGGCGAGTAATGTGTATGAGTGTGCATGTGGCACGATATGCTACTTACAGTGGCCGAGTTTATTACATATATTGACGTTCTTCCCCGCTATCGTTTTGGTTTCTTACTTGTTTTCTGTGATAAATTTTCAGACATTAAAGGAGTTTCTTACTGATGCTGAAGCTGAAGTGAGGTCTTTGGCTTCACTTTATTCTAATGTGGTATGCATGGAATATTGCCATATTGTTGTCCTTTCATCAAGAAAATTTCAAACATTACTAGAGGCTTAGAAATAATAATAATAATAATAATAATAATTTTTTTGTTTCAGGGAAGAAATGCAGATGCATTGGCTCTTTATTTTGGGGAAGATCCAGCTCGTTGTCCATTTGAGCAAGGTAGTATTGATGAGAACTTTGGATTTATTTATTTACTCTGTAAACACACAACAAAATGTAAAAGAGTTAACAAAGTGAGAACTGATCCTGCTACGAACGAAATCACATTACCATTTTCGGTGTTCTCGTCATCGTTTTGCAGTCGTATCTACCCTGCTTAACTTTGTGAGGATGTTCGTCCGAGCACACGAGGAAAACTGCAAGCAGCTTGAATTCGAAAGGAAAAAAGCGCAGAAGGAGGCTGAAAACGAAAAGATGAAGTTGGGTACTCCCAAGAAGGAATACCAACACTTGATACGAAATCCCCTTAAGAGCGAGAACATCAAATGACGGGGAATAAAAAAAAGCACATCCATTATATTCGTTCGAGTGACTGAAATTGTTCTTCTATCCATTAAATTATTTCCTGTGAATGACAAAAAACATCTTATAAAGATTAGAGAACAGTGGAACTGTCACTAACGGTGTTGATGATGACATGGATAATAAAAATTGTTTGTTCTGATGATAACGTTAAACTGGCCTTTGATGCTACGCTGGTCAGTGGTCACAAACAGATGAAAGAGACCCTTCTTAACTAACCGGTAAGGCTGTAATGTCTCCCTCAAGCTCTTGTCCTGTGCAGTTTTCAATCTTTAGATTGTTATGTATTCATATCTGTGTGTGTGTGTGTGTCTATATATATATATATATATATATATATATATGTGTGTGTGTGTGTGTGTGTGTATGGAGATACATACACACACATTTTTATTCACTTGTTGATTCTAACTTTACTGTTTCTGAAGCAGGTAGTGCAGGAGTTCTTGAAGATATGTTGGATAATGCTAACCCACTAGTAAGATACTTCTAGTTGCGTAACCATCTGTAATAGTTATTTTTTCATATTATAATTTTTTTATTAATTACATCATTTCTTCTGTAATCTGTATATCCTACGACCTTTCGTGATGTAAATGGTTATGATTAACTTTGTGCAATTCATTGTGATACTACCAAATAGAAATTTGCTCTCCACAATTGAAATGACCCCACTGTCCAAAACCAATAAATAGTCAGAAATGTACTTCTTTACTCTTTCTTTTGAATTTGGTTGGCACTTTACCACTTGGTCCAAAGAGAAGGCAAACATGTCTAGCACTTATCAGGAAAAAGGTTGCTAAATTGACCAACTGTGGATGCCCTATATGCAGAAACGACACGAACAGCAATTTTCGACGAATGAGATCCCGACGTTAAGACTCTGTTAGTTGTCAAACTGTCCACTAAACAAATGTCTCTCTCTCTCTCTCTCTCTCTCTCTCTCTAACCCCATTAACCTCCTATCCCTACCAAATTGTAAAACTTGTTCAGCATTACGTATCATGATGACATGGGCTTCCATTTTATTTTTGACTATCAGGAGGCTGAGCGGACTTTTATTTTTCTTTTTCTAAAGGTACATTTATGGCGGGGAATGCAATTTTAGTTTACTGATACTAGTTGTGTTTAGCTGTTGAATTAATCATTTAATGGTTTAATTTAGAGTGAGAACAGTTTTATGTTGTATTAAAATTTTTAATGCTGGTATGCACTAATATGACTGTTAAAAAACTAATCTCTCAATTAAAAATGACGTGGAGCAAAATAGCCATTTTCACTATAAAGATTCTCTCTTTTTTCTAAGTAAATTAATAGAATATCAGCAGACAAAGTTACGATGAAACTATGCCAAGGAAGGGGAACATTTCTAGTTGGGAACGTCCAAATTCCTCTTTCTTTTTTCCCAGAACATGGAGAGAAGGTTTGTCCACTTGAACGTTGCAGATTCCTTTTCAGAGGAAAAAGTCTTTGTTTATTCTCATTTTTGGAGAACAAGAAAAGAGGAATTTGGACGTTAAGAATGACGTTTCTAATTAGTGTTCAACTCAACGGGACAGATCGGGGTGCAATTATGGTTCACTAGTTTAATGGCAATAGGTTAGTCCCTCTGTTTTAAAATATTATTAAATGTTGTGTCATTATATGTTTTTTCAAAGCTTTTGAACCATCTATAATTTACTACATGAATTTCATAGGCCGTATTTGGTTCAACGATTCAATTTGTTAATTTAGTTTGAGTCGTGGTGATTTGAATTGCAGTGCATTAAATTGTCTAAAAATTGTCATATACCAAACATCAATTTGAATTCTAAATTATGGTTTGAATCCAACAATTCGGACGGTTGAAACATTTGTTTAGAATTATTATAATTCAACATTAACTGTATGCAAAAAAAAAAAAAAAGTGATGCTTGGTTGGTGGTGGCTTGAATTTTTATGCATTCTTACTAAATAAACAGACTCAGATTTTCTGTCTAATTTTAATGTCAAAAATTATAGTAAATAGTAGATTTTAAAACTAAATTAAGTAAATAATATATTTTAAAACTATTTAAAGCAAATAACAATTTACCATGTAAATATTTCATTTACGACTGTAAAAAATAATTTACGCGGTAAAAAACTTTATTTACGTGAAAAAAAAATCCTTTTACTAATCATAAAAAGAAAATTTAAGTAGAAAAAAAATCTTTTTACTAATCAATAAACCATTTATGTGGTAAATTGCTATATACTTCAAATAGTTTTATAATATGTTATTTACTTAATTTAGTTTAATAAATATACTATTTACTACATTCTCTCTTTTAGTGTCTCAATTAGTGTCTAACTAATCATATCATGTCATGTTGCGTTAACAATTTGATCTGCTTTTTAACTCTTGTTGATACCCAAAATTCTACAAGGTAACGGCCCGGCCTAGATCTAATAAATACAACTCTAGGTATAGTGCGTGGGCCCAAGCCACGTTTTGGGGACTTCTATGTGGGCCGTGGTTTGGTAGGCCAAGGAATGTGACCGGGTCCATTTTATCCGGCCCAATTAGATGCTTGGCCGACTTGGGTTGGTCTTGGATCTATGAGGGAATTAGGGTAACGTGGGTTATGGAGGAAATTAGACAGAGTAAAACAAATGACCTAAGGTTACAGTCGCTACCTTAATAGTTTTAAATCATTTATAAGTAGCCTAGAAAAAGCCTATTGGTTCATTACCTTGCACTAAGAGACAAAATAGTACTTTTTCCCATGTCTTTCCTCTTTTTTCGCTCACTGCCCTTGCCTTCCTAGGAGTCAAACGCAGCCTCTTCCCTAAAAAACTCTAAGGAGCCAGAGTGTACACAAACAAGGGAGGGCAACCTTTTGACCGTATGGTTGCCATCCTCTAATCTCACCCAAAGTGGCCACGGAGCCCTATTTTGCTGCCTAATAACCTACTTATTCATCTTTTTAGTAAACCTCCCGCTAGGATCAACGAAAGCTATCCTTAAATCACACTGGAAATGCCTTACCGACGGGGACCTTTGGGGGGATTTTAGCCAAAGTTCAAAACAGTTGGAGGGAAAACTTCCCTCCCCTTACCACGTTCCCGGTCTATAAATACTGTTGTTAAAACCTCTCAAAAGGAGAGACACGGAAAATGGGAGAAAACACATGTCAAAAATCCCCTGTTCTGAATAATTTCCCTGGATTTTCAGTTTCTATTAGAGCGACCGATGGACAATTCTATTCTCCATAACTTCTGGCGGAGTCCCTCTAGAACGGGTTTCTAGGCGTTCTCCCCATTGGAAGTGGTAATAAAAGCTCCCCGGAGCATCGAAATCCCTTAACCATAGCCTAACACCCCCCAAGACAGAGTTTTTATCCCTCCATACACTACGTCCATCGGAGTCATTGTGTTCACAAACAGGGAGATATAACCCCATCACCCATTTGGGAACCTCCTCCATAAACTGGTCACATTCCTCTCCCACACTATATGCTCATTGGGAATGCCACATCAAAAACTCTTCGCTGTCACGGAGCCGAAGCCGCAACGGGTGTCGCCCTCGGATACCGTCATCCTTGGGGTCATCCGGGTTTTGCCTACCTCAGCCGGGACCAATCTCATCCCCTTGGCCACCGTCGACGCCAGGAAGTGCCCTCAGCAGTTCTCTGACCACGTCAGTCGGCAAGAGCGCAGTCATCATGAACCAAAAAGGGGCCACGTGTCCCCTACCTTCCACGTCGACAGGCCCTCACCAAAAGAGCCTCAACAACTCTTTTATGCTTATCATGAAATGATGTAGTATGATTTAATTTGTTAGACGCTAATTAGCTTAGGACACTAAAAATTAGATAGAGGATCTGGATCTATGTAAAATAAGGAGAGATCCATGGTTATTAATACGCCTAAGCGAAGTTATTGCTTTTTCTCAAGACAAATGATCCTATACACATCACTAATCACTTCAATGTCTGTCCAAACTTTGTAACGAGACAATTCAGTGCGTTTTGATATAAAATGATGCAGGAAGTTGACACAATAATTTCTCCCATAAGTTATAATTGATAGAATATATAGGGTGTAATGAAGAGACCCAATTAAGCCTTTTAAACACAATCTAAGATGAGATTAGGGAGCTCGATTCCAAACACTACTTGTTTAGGCCTTTACTTCGAGGAGTCGTTCCTGACGAATTCATTGGCGCACCCCAAAGGATGGGCTCATGCATATGCACTTTTTCAAAACCCACCTTCAAGTTTAAGTATGCTCCACTAGAAGAGTAGAGACAACCCAAAAACAAAACATTTGTTCTAAACGAACAACTTGAGGCTAAGGATCATTACCAAAAGTATCATTATTTCTATCCTTTCGCCAAATCTAACGCTACGACATGTCTGGAGCTCCATACATATATATTTCAGTTCAGAATACAAGAAGAAACATGGAACTAACTGTTTGAACAACATAGCCTAATTAACACACACACACACACACACACACACACACATATTCTTGTTCCTTAATTTACATACGAGGAATCTGCAAGCATTTATAGCAGTACTAATTAAACATGAGATAACCACTAATGTTGAAGTGGATGTTGCTAGCTAGCTAATGTTTAGGTATAATTAGGGTGATCCCGTACGACGATCTGCGTTACCAATGGAACGTGCAACAGCCTTGGCTAAGGCAACAGTGAAACTGCGATCTTTAGTTAAAGAAGCAACATATTCTTCAATTTCCTTGTTGGGTTTGTTGAGATCATTAATATTATTATTGCATCGGCGGTCTTCGACTTCTCTGTTAATGATCATCTCTTGATTATCAATGGATCCGGCCGAAAGAGAGAGATAAAGGGTAGGATTAGGAGGTGACGATGGACTAGTACTGGCCGTTGATCTGCAGGTCTGATGACCATGATGACGATCATTTCGTGGAAAGTTAGCCGTTGGACCTTCCTTGTCTACCTTTTGATGATCATGATCTGGTGAAGAAGAGAAATATTGTGCACTTGAACAACGAGCATCGTGGTTGTGTTGTCCTTCGTAAGTTGCCACAAGGATTGATTTATCCTCCATGCTTCTTTGAACCTAATTAATCCGAGAATCACCAAAAAAAGAAAAACATTCATTATTAAAGAAGAGTAGGAATTATTATTATAAAATGGCAAATTCTCGCAGATTATAAGTTCAGTTCAAAAAAATCTCATATCACTTTTCAACCAAATAGTATAAATTATCAATATGTCGTTGATCAATCTCGGAATAATAGGTAAATTTGTGATTGGTATAAAATTAATAATGATTACGTAATTATATGAAGTTACTCACTTAGGTAGGGCTCCAGAAAATTTCGAGGAAGGATCATTAATCTAAAAAAAAAAATCAAAGTAATTAGAATATTATAAGGTTGACTTGTGTACCTTCTTCTTGACCGGGCATCCAGGAGCCATTGAACACCTAAAGTAAGCTCGAGGAAAAGGATTATCTTTGGTAACCTTCTGTCCATATTTCCTCCATTGACATCCATCTTTCACGCTCTAATTAAATTCAGAATATAATACACAAATTAAATTGATATAAAACATTAGAGCTAGGTTATATGGTCAACAAGTAGTACTTACTAGGTTATTGTCTTTAGAGTCAGTTTTCACAAAAAACTGCGACGTCTTATTGACTACGGAAAACTGATTATCAGTACTACTCCTGGCTCTTTTGCTTGCGGTACCCGTATGATCATCATGTGTTTCTATTAAGTTTCTTTCTCTGAGACAAGCTTCAAGCATTTTGCATTTGCTGCTTGTTAGTTTTAGCATGAATCTCAATGCTTCGTTCTCTTTTTTCAAACTTTCCACTTCTTCTCCGACTGATTCCACCTGATCAATCAACCCCAATTATACATATACTTATATATATCCAACGATTTCTGATCTGTTCTAGATATATTGAAAAGATTTTTTTGGGAGTATAGTTTGATGGCTTAATTTAACCCTAGAGCGTTGCCTTATATTTTCCAGTTATGAATATAATATTACATTCATGGTTATATTTTCATAAGTGGTTACCTATTAAACATAAAAATTTAATGATGTGCTCTAATAGGAATCCAATCTCATTAGTCACAATATATTTTTTTTGTCAACGACCAAATTTATTACAACCGTCAGATCAATATCACAAAGTTAAAATAATAATACTCATTGATGAATAAATTATTAGAGTAATCATTAAAACCGCACCCTGTGTGTCTATGTGTATGTGTGTGTATATATATATATATGTATGTATATAGAAAATGATTACATACCTTGTTTTGGAAAGAAGTATGAGCATCCATGACTTGATTTTGAGGAAGGATGAGTAGACTAGAGACTATATTAGCTAGAAGGAAAATGAGAGAGGGGAATGAGGCCGGTATATATAGATAGTTTGTTTATAATAGATGGTAGAATATGAGACGTTTGCAGCCCATTATGTGTGTTCAAGGAAGTTTCACAAGCGATACAAAATTTCCAATAAAAGTATAATAGACTAGTTATGGTGTGGCTGCTGATCAGCCCATGTCTCCCTAAATTATATTCTCATTATTTTCTTATTCTAAAAGGGGTGTTTGTTAATTGGTCTGACTTCGCAGTAGAAAATGTTGAAATAATCAAATCCGTGTTGGAAATTATAAGCTTGATTGATGTCTACGAATATCAAAATGATGAGCCTTTGAATTGAATAATTAATTGGAAAATCACACGTACACACATTACATCATCAGTGATGACGTGAGCGCCTTGTTTGCTTTTTTCATCACATTTTGAATTACTTTACAATATTTTTTTTTTCTTGTAATGGGTCCAACATGTTTGACTGATGGATTAAAATAAAATTCGTAAGTTCTGTTTATTTTATTAATTTAAGTTTAAAATTTATATTTTAATATAGTAAAAAATTATAAAAAATAGTCATATTTAATATTTTTGTTACAATAAAAAATTCTCACATAAAGTTACATCTCAAATTAAATTAAAAATTTAAATTAACGAACTAAACGAGCTTGTAGTCTAATTATTAGTTTGATGGCGTATTAGTATTCATAAGTCATTCTTCCACTTGCTTTTGGTTGGGTTTAGAAAATACTCTTAATAGATATATTTAAATCTTCTTAATTTCACTAATTTGAGTTTTTAATTCTAGTTTTATTACAGTTAAAAGTTTTCATAAAAAGTCACATATAACTTTTTCTGCTATAGTAAAAAATTCTCACATAAAATCATATCTCAACTCGAATTAAAAACTCAAATTCACAAACTGAACGAGAACCTAATTTAGATTATCTAATCTATTTATATGCATCTTTTGGACTATATAAACAAATCTCTTTGGAAAAAGAAAAGACGGTAAAGAAAATGGGCATGGAAGTGTTGCCCTTGCAAAATAGTTTTATTACAATGGGAAACTTTAAAAACCATTTATTTAATCTTTCTAGCAAAAATAAAACATTTGAAATCCCAATAAGAAAAAAAATTTGGAATAAAAAATAAATTAATGAGCGCAAACAAGAAAATTAGAGAAAAATTAATAGCCTTGGAAGGAGAATAAGAATGACCAAAAAAAAAAAAAAAGAACCACAATTATAAGAAAATCGACCGTTATAAATCTCCCCTAGCATCAAAGTTTTTTATCGTTAAGAGGATAGAGCTATAGAGTATAAAGGGCAGATTAAAAAAAACGAATATTGAAAGAAAAGCGCAAAATAATAACAAAAGTAAAGAAGTGACGTTGGCGGGCGGAAAAGAATAAAAGAGAGAAAAAGTCCGAAAGTCTTTGTTTAAGAATCAAAGTCAATGGTCGTTGACAGTCAAAGAACCTAGAGACAACATTAGCATCAAGCTAAGGTTACGTTTAGTATTATTTTTCATTCTCAAAATTAATTTTTATTTATAATAAAATTTAATTTTAGTGTTTAGTAAATCTAATTAAAAGTGTTTTTTGAAATTTTTTTAAAGAATTTACAGCTAAAATTAAAAACAGTTTAAAAGCAATTTTAACTTTTAAATTGTGTAGAAAATACAATTAATAAAACTTTCATAATATCTATAATACCCCTAATAAAATTTAAAATTTACAATATTTCTAATCTAAAATTCAAACTCATAATATAATATAATATAATAATACAACAATATAATAATATAATGTAATAGAAATATTGTAACAAATAATATCATAATTATATTAATAACTTTAATATTATTATTTTTATGATATTATAATAAAATTATAATTATTTTAATAATATAATAATATAATTATTATAATAATATGGAGTTTTGCTACAGTAAAAAGCTCTCAGAAATAGTCACATATAACTTTTTTGTGACAGTAAAAAACTCTCACATAAAGTCACATCTTAACTCGAATTTAAAACTCAAATCAGCAAACCAAACGGGCCCATAATATATTATATAATAATAGTTTTTTGTATTATATTAAACATAATAAGAAAAATATATTATATTGTAATTATATATATAATATAATATAATATAATATAGTCGTAATTTTTAATTATCTACACTAATTTAATCTTATAATTTTTTAAACGTTATTATACTAATTTTAAAATCAATATAATTACTATAATTATAATTTATTAAATACTCAACTACTTTTTATAAAAACTATTTTTTCTTTCAAGGTAACTAAAAAGAATTTTTTTTAAATCTACAATAATATCAAACTAAGCCTAAGTCCAAATACGATTTCTCCCACTTTTTCCCTTTGCTTCACGATGCATCCTTTTCTCACCACGTGTGTTACCCATGGTAAAACAAAAAAAGTTTCTCTCATAAGGTCACCCAATCAGTACAGTCAATCATTACCGTTAACTTTGATTATAGAATCATATTATATTTAAAAATATATATACATATATGCAACATAAACAGATTTAAAACAAAAACTGCATCACGTTTGGTTGGTGACTCTTTTTTTTGGGATTCTCTTTGTTGGGTTGTCCTCTTGTTTTCAGTTGTGTTTTGGTCTTTAACAAACTCTCTACAGCAACAAAAATGAATAAGAGAAATAAAAAATTATGCCATGTTTTGTTAATATTTGATTAGTTCAATTTGTGTAACAGAAATAAAAAATTCGAACATATGTAATATCAATTCGAAGGTTTGTTTTTTTTTTTTTTTCCTCAAATTCTTCAAAATTTATCCTTTTGTTTTTAAGTTTCTTTAGTAAGCCGTTCTATGAGTAGAGGCAGCTTTCTGATCGTTAGATATGATTTAAATTAAATCAGACTAAAAAATTATACAAAATAAACAGTTTTTGATATAGATTTAACGATTAAAAAATAAAAAATTACTAGTACTTCTTTTTTTTTGATCTATTTTTTGTTTTTTCAGCTTCTTTCGGTGTCTAAAATTCAAATTTATCACCCTAATATTGAATGCGAGTATGGAATTATGATCAGTATGCAAAGCTCTAATTACTTTATTACTTGATCAGACTAATTATTTTTTCAGGTTATATATATAATATACATACACATATATATATAGGCTTTGATATAGTGGCTGAACATTTTGTATATATCAAACCCGTGTTTAATTTAAATCTTGGTTCTTCCAACAAGCCAATTATTAATTTGAGAGGTCTTGATTCCTTCAACAATGCCTTATTTATCTCCATTTAATTTCTTTTCAATAATACTGTAGTGTGTTCTAGAAGTGAGGAAGCTGTATATAATTACATACATGCTTAAAATCCCATCCCAAAAAATGCTCATAAAATGGAGTTGGGTTTATACTTATCCACAAACAAATGGCCAAGTTGGAGGAGACTTCAAGTATTACCCGTTGTTGAATATTGAAAGTTCCATCAATGATTTGTCTTCACGGGTAATGCCTTATCTCGTTTGTTATTGACCCAATATTAAAAGGGACCTAAAAAGACCAAAACAGGCCAAGGCCTTGATTCAATGTGGTTAATTAAGTCTACCCTTTTCATCATAATTCATCCACATCAGTAAGTAGACGATAGATTTAGATGGCATGTCTAATATTAATATTTAAAATGTTATCTAATCAATCGTGATCATATTATATCCAATGTTTTTTAATTGATTTTTTTATACTTTTATGTTAAAATATGATAAGATTTGAGATGAATTAAAATTATTAGGCCAATAGTTTACATAAGTTAATAAATATGTCAAATTATTATTTTCGTCCATAACTTATCTGGTTATGAACCATAACTTGACAAGTTATTGTCCATAATTGTCCATAACTTGTCTAGCTATGAACCATAGCTTGACAAGTTTGTCCATAACTTATCTGGTTATGAACTATAACTTGACAAGTTATGGCCTATTAATTTCTATAACTAAAAATTGACCTATATACTTTCTTAAACTTTTCATATTGGCCTATTTTCTACTATTTCTCTTTTTCTTTTCCTCTTAATTTGTTAGTCCCTTTGGGCTTTGTTGGTTGTGCCATCCACATATTAAGGAAGAATATTAACAAAGGGACATCGCTCAAAGGCTTTTTAATTAATTTTATAAATATTCATAGAATTTTATACTTTGTTTTAATACGTCTCTCTAATTTTGATATAGTTCATTTCGCTTTTTAAAATATGAAAATTGATTCAAAATACTTCTTAAAATAATGTTATTTTCTGAATGTTCCTTAAAATATTAATTTTTGTGTCAATTTACTTTTTAATCTTTTAATTTTATTGACACAAATAACTGAAAGAAAAAATTGACTTAAAATTAATAATTTAAAAATTATTTATAAAATTATAAAATGTGCCATGTCATTATTTTATTAATTTTTTTAGAGTTAGAGGACGACCCCGAAACCTCTAAAGTCAACTTACTCGGCTAAATATGCATATTTATTTATTTATTTTTTTCATATAGGGGTTTAATTAATATGCGAGTCATATGACATCACACAGATGACAATTATTTCTAGTACTGGTCCCACCACCGCATGCTGTACTACTTCCATCGAATTTATCCTCTATATATGTATGCACAAGGTTCACAAATTTAATCCACTGTTGGCTTAGAAATCTTGGATTACGCGAAATACAGATGCAACAGTAACATGAATAGGAGTTATTTTAAAATTATGAGTAATTTTGATTTAAAACATCACATTAAAATTTAAATCTTAAATTAAAATTATTTAAATTAAACACTAATTTTAAATGAATTAAATTAAAATTACTTTTTAATTTTTATAAATAAACACTTATTTAAACCAAAATCATAGTTTCACGTTCTTGAACCCTTATACCATACCAATCGTGCTCTGAATTTCAAGGAAAAAAAGGAAAAAAGATGTATCCTATTAATTTAAGATAT